GAGTTGAGTTGATGCCAAAGAGCTCAATTTTGGTCTCATCTGACCACAACACTTTCACCCAGTTCTCCTCTGAATCATTCAGATGTTCATTGGCAAACTTCAGACGGCCCTGTATATGTGCTTTCTTGAGCAGGGGGACCTTGCGGGCACTGCAGGATTTCAGTCCTTCACGGCGTAGTGTGTTACCAATTGTTTTCTTGGTGACTATGTTCCCAGCTGCCTTGAGATCATTGACAAGATCCTCCTGTGTAGTTCTGGGCTGATTCCTCACCGTTCTCATGATCATTGCAACTCCACGAGGTGAGATCTTGCATTGAGCCACAGGCCGAGGGAGATTGACAGTTATTTTGTGTTTCTCCCATTTTCGAATAATCGCAACAACTGTTGTCACCTTCTCTCCAAGCTGCTTGGTGATGGTCTTGTAGCCCATTCCAGCCTTGTGTAGGTCTATAATCTTGTCCCTGACATCCTTGGGGAGCTCTTTGGTCTTGGCCATAGTGGAGAGTTTGGAATCTGATTGATTGATTGCTTCTGTGGACAGGTGTATTTTATACAGGTAACAAACTGATATTAGGAGCACTCCCTTTAAGAGTGTGCTCCTAATCTCAGCTCGTTACCTGTATAAAATAAACCTGGGAGCAATCTTTCTGATTGAGAGGGGGTCAAATACTTATTTCAATCATTAAAATGCAAATCAATTTATAACCTTTTTGACATGCGTTTTTTTGGATTTGTTTGTTGTTCTTCTGTCTCTCACTGTTCAAATAAACCTACCATTAAAATTATAGACTGATAATTTCTTTGTCAGTGGGCAAACATACAAAATCAGCAGGGGATCAAATACTTATTTCCCTCACTGTAATTATATGACCGTAGCCCTGGGGTCATGTGAACGTCTCTGTATCATGTCAATGATGTCATGTCATCACTCACGGCAGCAGGCTCCATTACAACCATATCAGGGCTAGGTGTCCTGGTGTGCCTCTGTGATGTAATGTTTAGTAAGGGAACCCTCCTGTCCTGTCTGAAGTCTAGTCTGGCTGATGTTTTCCAGCCCAACGATCAGAGGGAGTCCATTTCCACATGGACATACAGAGCTCCAGTCTCAGATTGACTCACCGATGCATCTCAGAGCCATTACTGTTTTACTGCTAGTGTTACTGGAGCTACTGTGTTGTATCACCTTGCCTTGCTGCTGATGGCAGCACAATCCTGTTAGCTTTGCCAGGGTTAAGCTCAATACAAATCGAAATAACTGTAAGATTAGAGCTCTACTGGAGCAGTGCAGCGCTGTCTCTCTTTTTCATGTACTGATTGAATAAGAGGATAAAGTGCAGGGTGTGCCAGTGGACACTGAGCTTGATACTCAGAGAGCTGCTTAGTCACCTTAATAATGCATCTATAATGCATTACTTCAGAGTAATTCTCCACGTTCCATGAAACAGTTCTTGAATATAAATTGATTAATAAAAGTATGTGGACAAAGTGTGCACAAATAGAATACAATGTACAAAATGCAAAATAAAGACTGTACTGGTCAGGCACCAGCTGCCGACAAATGCAGCAATGACACCCAAGTCATTCTGCCAATCCTAGCCATTGTCCATGCCATAGCGAGCTCCCTCACTCTGGGCTCATTGTGCCTTCTGCTGGAAGGATTGTGTAATTACACCATTAGCATTGGGAGTCATTGATTGATTTTCTAGGTTGGTGTTCCACTGGGTAATCAAAGGTGCTGTCAAAGAGCAGTGCATACCTGTCCTGATTATAAAGTGGATATAGCTTTCTACAACAGCCTCTGGATACCTACCTTATTTCATACCATGTAGATGAAGAGACTCAGCTGGCACCTATCAATATTTTAGCTGATTTTATGGACTACCTCAGCCAATTCCAATTCTGGATTCATATTTAAGAATCATTCTGAGAGAGGGTGGTGCAGAGCTCTGTCTCGTGCCCCCCTGTCCTCCTCTCCCTCTCTCCATCCCTCCACCCCTCTCATTTATACCAACAGAAATGGCTGTCTTTTTAGACATAAAAGGCAGGGGCATATCTACCAATTTTAACTAAACATCAAACATGGATTTGCAGAAATGTTAAGCCGACCAGACAGCTTTGCTCTTTACCTTTCAAATGGTCCAGCAGAAAGAGCTGACAGATACTGATAGATAAAGACCACAGCCATGAAGGTCAGAGCATGAAAGCAGCTTCCTGTTGGTCTGTCTGCAGCAGTACAGCCAACAGCAGTTAACCACAGCAAAGAGAGTGCAGCACATGTTATGAGTTACCTCCGTTGCCTGCAGTACGCAGTTATCGCAGTCATTCACACTGACAGTGGAAATCAGTGTTTAAACAGCTTGCGCATATCCCAGCCGATACTGCTATGTTCTTGAACGGTGAGTCGTGACCTTAGCAAACATTTTGGAGAGGTTGTTTCAGACACAAGACATTTGGTCAGTAGGTAATGGTTATATTAGTAGTTACAGCTTAGTAAAGGTTACATTTAGGATAGTTGACAGCTTGTTTAGCAGCACTCTGAGTTGGTCACATAAACAGGAGACAGGAGATGTAAAGCATGGGTGTACAGTATTTGTATACATGCCTGATATACTGCAGTCCATTTCAAAGGCAGCAGGTAATCTGTTTCCTGGGAATGGCTTTCACTTTAAGCATTATGTTCGAAAGCACTTCACAAATACAGTTATTATCGTTATTATGATAGAAGTTCAATTGAATTCAATTACAGGTGTTATTGGTGAGAAAGGGATGTGGGTCTCTCACTGAATAAAGAAAAACGGCAACAGGGAAACTGTCAACCGATTGTTTACCACATCATTTGTATCAAAGATCAGGGTATGAGTATCAGTAGATGCAGGAAGACACCACAGTCTTTTATTGTGGTTTCATCACCGCAGTCCATGTGGTTGGAGCATATCATTAGTTTTTCTCTTCGGACAGAAATCTTCCCATTGCCTGTTGTGTGGCTGGTGCTAGCTGATAACAGATCACTGGCTGTTTGGTCTGGCCCAACTCAGGAACTACCATGGCAGATAAATCTTAGCCTCGCGAGCCAGCCTGATCTTGCGAGCTTACATAAATGATTCGCTACACAGATACATGAAGTGATGAGGTGAAGTGAAACAGAATGAGAACGGAGCAGTCTGGAGGGTCTGGGATCAGGGTAGATATACAGTATTGGCATACTCTTGTTCCTTCTATGTGTAACATTTCAAAGGGTGTCACAATGAAACATTTTTGTAAATAGGCTGTATGCATACATATCTAGCTAGCTTGGGCCATGTCATGATGATGAGCCCTGAGACGGCCATCATCACATTCAGTCGGACATTCCCTTTTAAAATGTGTACTTCACGCTGTCTATCATCTTGCCTCCTGAGCCTAGCTATCCCCGCCATTGGCCATGAGACACGATACCCTTTGATAGTATGTGCTTTAGCCAACTCTTTCAACATTGCCATGTATTGGACCATCAGGCCAGTACAGATCCATGACACACAGACAATTTACAGTGCCATTTAGATTGAACCAATTAGCCTTGAATCTTCAGACATGTGCTGGTCTGGTGTGGTGTGGGTGGGGATGAACCTTCTTGGCTCACACAGTGCACCTCCCAGAGTGGTTGGATGCTCCTCTGACCTGATGACATCACGGTGAGAACTCTCTGTTACTAATGAGGGGAGGAACCAGAATAACATTTTCCAAGGTTCTTCATACCCTGCTGGAGGTCCCGGTTACATTATGTTGTGGTTGTCTAAGCCTTGTGAGTCATTCAGTTCACAGAGTTAATGTAGGATAGTCAACCCAGCCTATGCCAGGACTTAGTTTCCACCCTGGTCTCAGCAAGTAAATAATGTTATAACATAAGTTAAAAGGAATAGGATATGGAGCAATATGCATTTAGCTACAGAAACACAATGGGTGTATTTATGGTTGTAGTGTACTGGTCTATTCATATTCTAAGTCTAAGTGAACATTAGCTGCTTCTCTATGTTTTCATTTCTCCTCCCTGGTGGTCCTCCGACTGAAGGTCAAGCAGGGAGGACACTCAGTCAAGCTGGCCTCCTGGAAGACAGGCAGACAGTGAGGCGGTGTCCATGATCGCTCCAATGCTTCAGCTTAGCAGGAGGTGGAGCATAGAGAAGAGAGACAGCCCAGAGAGAGTATATGAATAGTTTAGGTTATATTGATTAGCTTTCCAAATCAAATCCAATTTTATTTTTCACATGCTTTGTAAACAACTGGTGTAGACTAACAGTGAAATGCTTACTTATGGGCCCTTTTACATTTGAGTCATTTAGCAGACGCTCTTATCCAGAGCGACTTACTGTTAGTGAGCGCATCCATTTTTCATACTGGGCCCCCGTGGGAATCGAACCCACAACCCTGGCGTTGCAAGCACCATGCTCTACCAAATCAGCTACAGGAGGGCCAGTATGTTGGGCCTTCCCAACAATACAGAGAGAACATTTGAAAAATAACATCCTCTATGTGCATGTTTTAAGCCGATGCAGTGCTGACATATATAGCCTACAGCAAAGCAAGGTTTCCCCTAACTTCCAGATTAATTCTGCAAATGTTGTACTTATTATTTCTCTGTACATTTAACTCATTGTAATCTTAAACATAATATATTGTCATATGCCATGTAATCTCCATATTATGCATATAACCCTAAAGAGGGCAATAATTCCAGGGTCATTGAACAATTAGTTTATTCAAGTAGCTATAATGGTGGTGTCGATGATATGATGTGGGTTACATGCGCGGTTTTGGGAACAGTTGAACAACAGATGTTAGCCATCAGGAGAGGGAGAGTAGGGGGGTCACTTTTAGGGGGTGTTTCCTAACCGTTTCGCAGTCCTTACTGGGCGAACAGGGAATAGGAGGTTGTTGCAGTGAATATCAGAATTTGAATGCAGCGTTGAGCGTTCCTTGAGGCTATATGGATGTAACGGGAAATAATAAAAAAATGCTCTTTGATGTCAGAATTGCGCGAATATGAGCGGACGTGTGCTAATTGGGAAAGTGCCGCCGATGCCGCAGCGTCAGCGGACGGCGCCTTGTGCGAAAAGGACAATACATTTTACTCCGAGTCCAAGGTAAGCACTAAGCAGAGATCTGCAGCGATACAGATCCGCGTGTATCACTGTCAGACAATGTATTGTAGCTCTGTAAATTATTCTGAATACCGTGAACACGTGGAATTTGAAAATAGTTTGTTTGACTCAAGAGTTGAACAAGGAAATGTTTAGAATGTATCATTGTAGCTTACCGGATGAAATGATGAAAATTAGAAATTAATCAACTAAAATGCAGAGTTTCAAGTGTTGATGTTGAAAAGAATAGATCCCTCATCAGTTTATTTGATCTATCCACAGCAGCGTTCCTATGGGAAAATCTTGATACTTTTTACTCGCTAATGTAATAGTGTTTGGCTACAATTACTAGCTTATAGGCTATATAATCAAAAATACTGACATTTTCAGTATTTCTTCTAAAAAGTGATGTATATCTCTAGGCTACCTGGGGGTTAATTGTTCAAATGGAGCTACATCAAAGTGACTCAATATTTTTCTTATCAAGCAAAGATCTAGACTGCCAAATGAGGTCTTGTTAGATACAGACTTGGCACTTGTTTGTCACAAGCAATTATAGGATTGGTCAAAAGAACACTCTCCATGATGGAATTGTGGCAACAGTACCACAGCTATCTGGGTAATTGAAGATTCCTTGAGCGTTCAGCCACAGGTATGCGCTCCCAAGAGTGACAAACTATATTTTTGCCTAGCTGTGCTGTCTGCCTTCTTTCCCCCAGACATAGTTGTTGTCACCAGACCAGGGACAGATACTGTTGAAAGGTGCGCTTGATTTAGCTTGGAGTTTGCACTTTTGGGACTATTCCATCGGTTCTATATACTTGGCAAACTAAATCAAGCACAGCTAAAGTATTTGAAAGTATTTGGCACAGGTCTGGTTGTTGCATACTGTTTTGTGCGAAGACTTGACCATGAATGGTCAATGCCCCTTCTACTACTCCATAATATCTATAGGGTAACACGTCCCACATGTTTGTGTGTATGTCTGCTTTACAAACCTAGTTATGTTTGCACTGTGTCAAAAGTTAAAATTGTCTCTTTAATCATGACTGGCTACCTGGTCCCTGCATCCGGCCTTTAAGTTCTACAAGTAACTACCTGGTAAATAGCGAGCTGTAATAAAATAGTTAGTTATAATTGGATAACATCAGTGGCAGCTGGTCTCTAATAGTGTAGACTGGTGTTTGGGCTTTCAACAAGATGGATGAGTGTTCATTAATTAGCCTTTTAAATTAATTAAGGCAGTAATACATTGTACTAAATAATACATTTTAGACAACACCTTTGTCAAGAACTTCATCAAGGTCACATTACAATCACATCAAAAGTGGGACACTCCAATAGTATGCAGCAGCGGTGGTTTTAAACCCGGTCAGATGACATGTATCCCTGTGTGTGTGGAGAAAGCTCCATGTTGTTTTATTAGGTTTGATGCCTGGATGCTTATCCAAATGGACCACTTATTAGCCTTGTAGGAATGACATCAAAGTCTCAAGGTAGTGTTTGTCTTTTGTCGTTCTCTGCATGATCAATTCAGCTGTTTGTTTCTGTAGTCCCAGCTGTATGAATATGGTTGAAATAAATCATTATAGCGCAAAAGGCTTTTTTTGTGCTTCATCACATTTCTCTGCACAATAAGACATGTTTTTATCTATTGTGATTGATTGAATCAAGTGAAATCATTGTTAGGTTTAATATCCCTGCATTATGGAGAAAGTTGTCTTCTAGCAGTCAGATAGTCTAGTAGCCATGCAAGCTACGTACAATGACGTGCTTTGGGGTCCAATAAGTAAGAGTCATCTTGTTGCACACAGCTGGTCCCAGTGTAGAATGTAGATCATATTTTTCCCACCACCCCTCTTCCCCCACCACCCAACCCCTCCCTCAATCGTTCAAACCTAAACATTTTCTCAGAGACAGAAATTCAAATAATAGCACTAACACATCAATCAGCCGGTAAGCTTGGAGCAGTGCCACAGAAAACAAAAGGCTAGTTTCTACCCCAATGTATGAAGTATGTATATAGTTCAGTTCCTCCCACCCTCCTTGTCTGAATTTCACTTCCGAAATGTAAGCTGCAAAGTAGACACATGTTGCAATATCAACAGACTACAGCAGGGTTCCCCAACTGGCGGCCCGCGGGTCAAAGGTTTTATTTGCTAGCCAAGTTTTCTGAGCCAATTTTTTTTTTATACACTGAACAAAAATAGAAACGCAACATGCAACAATTTCAATGATTTTACTGAGTTACAGTTTATATAAGTCAATTGAAATAAATTCATTAGGCCCTAATCTATGGATTTCACATGAATGGGAATACAGATATGCATCTGTTGGTCACAGATACCTTCAAAAAAAGGTAGGGTGGTGGATCAGAAGCCAAGTTTGTTAGTGTGTTGTTACTGTGAGCTGAGATGCCTGCTATTTGTCCTAGTCCACGTGATGAAATCCCTGCTGGTTTGTGGTTGTTAAAAGACTACCACGGACTACTAAATGTTTATAGCATTGTTGCTTAGAGTGTCGACAAATGCGGCTTACCTCAGTCCTCTGTATAAAGTCCATAGACCAAGAAGTCTATTTCAACCTTCGCACATCACAAAACTCTGCTTAGCATTAAATATATTAACTCCCAATCTTTCACTCTTCGATATCTCTTTTCTCAATGCTGGCTAGACATGTGACTAATAGGTCAGATGGATGCATTCGTACTAGTCTTGAAATGTTATTAAGAGTTTTGGAAAGGATATTAACTGATAATTGCCAGTAATTTCTGTGGACTATCTGTTTGGGTACAGGACTTATTTAAAGGTATAGTTTGGGATAAGCCCCTTTATATACTTCCCCAAAGTCTGTTTTATTTAGAGTTAGCAATTGCAATGACGCTAGCAACTTCCTTCAAACTGCACTCGGATACATAAAAATTGTATCCACAAGTTCATCTGACCCTGGGGAAGTAGATAAAGGGCCAAAATTGCCTTAATTGCCAAAATCCCGAACTATCCTGAGGGGGTTGTGTTTGACAACTACCTATGGAGAGCACTGCAGTCCAGCAAAAGATCAGTCTTAAAACTCTCAGCTCCACAACCACAAATTAAACATCACTCAACACCCTGTCTCTGTGTTGGCCAACAGTTCTGTGTGTGTTTGATTGATGGAAAGTCTGTTTTATGTCTACCTGTTAAGGGATAGGAAATAAAGAAACTACTTTGTTGATTGAAGTAGTCACTTAGGGTGATTGGCTCTTCTGAGAAATGCACGATTAGTACACTTTAGTTGATTTTATGGCTGATAACAACATGTCATATACTTTCTCCTGTTATGATTATGCTTTACATTTATGGTTGCAGTTATTTTCAGAGTGCAAAATGATATAGTGAAGTATTCCAGTGACTGTTAGATTCTAGGTCTCAACCAATGGCCTTTTTTGGACTCACTCAACCATAGCCATGTGATTAAAGGGATACTTTGAGATTTTGGCAATGAGGCCCTTTGTAGTTCCCCAGCATACTAGCAGATACCCATAGACTTCCAGTCATTGTGCTAACGCTAGTTAGCATTGGCTCGCGAAACTACCTCTAACTTCCTTCATGTTGGGCACAGAGACATACAAATTCATCTGACTCTGGGGAAGTAGATAAAGTAGATACATACAGTGCATTCGGAAAGCATTCAGAACCCTTGACTTTTTCCACATTTTGTTACATTACAACATTATTCTAAAATTGATTAAATTGTTTTTTTTCCCTCATCAAGCTACACACAATACCCCATAATGACACGTTGTAGAAACATCTCAAGGATGATCAATGGAAACAGGATGCACCTGAGCTCAATTTTGGACTCTCATAGCAAAGGGTCTGAATCCTTATGTAAATAAGGTATTTTGTTGATATTTCTTTATACATTTCAGCAAAAAATGTAAAGCCTGTTTTCACTTTGGATTATGGATTATTTCGATGAGGAGATTGATGAGAAAATTATGTAATCCTTTTTTGAATAAGGCTGTAACGTAACAAAATGTGGAAAAAGTCAAGGGGTCTGAATACTTTCCGAATGCACTGTATCCCTTTAAGTCCAATTGCCTCCTCTGCTTCAGCATTTTTATGGGCCATTTTTGTCTCCCTGTGTTTTTTTGTAACATATGCTATTCCATGTTCCATCGACTTGCTAACTGCAGAGTAGAAACCCACAAAGAGCAACAATTTCAACTCAGTGGGGCAGAAAGGGAAGTTAGGAATGACTCAGCTTTCCAAGGGTCTTATTACTGTATCTACATTTTCTCTCTGCCACGTTTGTGTGTCCGGATAAAAAATTGATTGCTACTTACCCCTGCCAAACTAATGAGAGGTAGCATAATAATTATGTAAATCTAAGAAATACTTAAGCACTCTGGAGATATTTCTATTGAAACCATAAAGGCATACAAAGCTCTCTTCAAAACCTCTTCTCTCCATTTCAAAAGTCTCTGCTTTAAATTCGATACTGTTTTGTCCTGCTCTGACCCTTACGTGACAATAATCCTCTCGACTACATACTCCACCCCTCCTGAAATTAAATTGTATGCAATGATCTGTATATTCGGAGTGTGAGATTAAAATGACTTCCTATTCAAATGTATTCAGAGGATGCATTTGGTCTACAATTTTATTTGCTCTCTTGCGAGCGAGCAGCAGATTTCTGGGCTACAGTGCCACACTGTGACTGCTCATCCTTGTCCCCCCTCCCTCCCTCCCTCCTCTCACGTAGGGGCCTCTCCATGGTGAACCAGGCCAGCAGACAGGCGGCAGGGTGGCAGCCCAGACCCTCAGGCAGCTGTCACTGTGATTTCCCCTTCTCCTCTAATTCCCTACCTCCTCTTTTCTATCACTCCTTGGAACACGCCATCCCAGCTCCTTGACCCTAAGCTGCCTGTCAACCCACTGCCACCCTCAGCCCGTCAACTTGATTTAACAGACACGTCCCGTGCTGAGGAAACTTCAGTCAAAGTGCCACTCATGGTTTGTTATTAAGATGATGTGATGCACACAAGAGAGAGTAAAGAGAGTTCCTAGTTGTGTTGTTAGAGTCGAAGCAGCTGTGTTGTGTAACCTAGGCATCCCTTGCCTGATCAAACAGCTTGTAGCTAGAGATCCCTACTTCCGCTGGCAGTTACCATGGTATCCCTTCAGGAGGACAGATGGACATGTCAAAGCTGTTGCCAATTTAGGCCTACCTTTGTCTTCTTCTTCAAAACCTCCTCTGTAACTACACAGTTACTCTTAGATAACTTTATAACTGTTAATACACAGTACCTATTCCTTTCTACAGTCCCATGCTCTGCTTTATTATAACCTTTGACCCCTTCTTTCTGCAGTTGGGATGAGAGCAGCTCTATCAGCAGTGGGCTCAGCGATGGCTCTGTAGACAACCTCAGCTCTGAAGAGTTCAACGCCAGCTCCTCCCTCAACTCCCTGCCCACCACACCCCTCGGCTCCAGACGCAACTCCTCTGTCATGGTGAGTAAAGGCCACATTCAATCACAACAACCTTAGCTAGGTTTATGCACTTCTGTTTACAAACAATGGAGGCTACTATCTGCACACACACACAGTAAGCAGATACTGGTATTTTGAGAAAATCATACTCTAGTAGATTTAAGGGAACAACTTGTTTCTGTTTGAGTTATGGAAGAACACAGTTAAATAAGTCCTTTGTCCTCAAAAGTTTACGTCAGTATTTCAGACTGACATTGCACCCATTGCCCCGTCTCACTGTCCTCCTGCCTGCCTGTGTCTTTGATTCACCCTCTGCAGAAGCGTGTCAAATCTGCCTGAGTCATTTGGGTCCCAAAGAAGCAGTTCACATGACAGACACTGCAATGTCATTAAATCAGAAATAGTTTAAGTGTTACTAGATTAAATGAACTCATTAGGAATTTGGGGCACCACGGGTTTGAGAGTGTGATTTGAAGGAGTCAGGCGCAGGAGGGTAAATCACAGAATACAGAGTTTATTCCGTAGTACACAGTTACGCTGGATAGCGTCAACAGTCCTGTGTGCAAAACAGGTGCACTGGAACAAATACAGGCACACGGGGAAAATATACCCCGGCAATACAACGTACAGGTAGCTCCACCGAGCTACACTCATCTCACATGAAACAATCACCCACAAGGACAAGGGGGCAGAGGGAACACTTATACATGTACTAATGAGGGGAATATGAACCAGGTGTGTGTAATTGACAAGACAAGACAAATGGAATGATGAGATATGGAGCGGCAGTGGCTAGATGGCCAGTGACGACGAACGCCGAAGGCTGCCCGAACAAGGAGGGGAGGCAGCTTCGGAGGAAGTCGTGACATTACCCTCCCCATTGACGCGCAGCTCCAGCAGGAGGACGCGGAGCAAGGCGAGCCGGATGGTGAGGAGAGACACATGAAACGAGGGGTTAAACGTAATCAGGGGGGAGTAATAACCTATAGGTAACCTCGTTGATTCTCCTCAGGACTTTGAACGGACCCACAAACCGCGGCCTCAGCTACCGGCAGGGCAGGCGGAGGGGCAGATTCCGGGTCGAGAGCCAGACCCGATCACCCGGTACGAAGACCGGGGCCTCACTGCGGTGGTGGTCAGCGTTGGCCTTCTGACGACGCACGGCACGTTGGAGGTGGACGTGGGCAGCGTCCAACGTCTCCTCCGCGCACCGAAACCAATCATCCACTGCAGGAGCCTCGGTCTGGCTCTGGTGCCACGGTGCCAGAACCGGTTGGTAACCTAAAACACATTGGAATGGTGTTAGGTTAGTGGAGGAGTGACGGAGAGAGTTCTGGGCATATTCGGCCCATGGCAAGAACACCGACCACTCCTCCGGCCGGTCCTGGCAGTAGGACCGCAGGAACCTACCCACATCCTGATTCACCTGTTCCACCTGCCCATTAGACTCGGGGAGGAAACCAGAGGTCAGGCTGACCGAGACCCCCAGACGTTCCATGAATGCCTTCCAGACCTTGGATGTGAACTCTGGACCTCGGTCAGACACTATATCCTCTGGTACCCTGTAGTGCCGGAAGACGTGTGTAAACAGGGCCTCCACAGTTTGCAGGGCCATGGGGAGACTGGGCAGAAGAAGGAGGCAGCAGGCCTTGGAAAAGCGGTCCACAATGACCAGGATGGTGGTGTTACCTTGGGAGAGGGGAAGATCAGTCAGGAAATCAACACTCAGATGAGACCATGGTCGTTGTGGAACTGGTAAAGGTTGTAACTTACCCGCTGGGAGGTGCCTAGGTGCCTTACTCTGGGCGCACACTGAGCAGGAGGAGACATACACCCTCACGTCCTTAGCCAAGGTAGGCCACCAGTACTTTCCAGTCAGGCAGCACACTGTACGACCGATAGATCAGATGATCACGGATAAGAGCAGGCACGTACTGCAGCCCAGCTGGACACTGAGGTGGAGATGGCTCTGTGCGTAACGCCTGCTCTATATCCGCGTCCATCGCCCATACTACCGGCGCCACAATGCAGGAGGCCGGGAGTATGGGGGTGTTGTCTCTGGGCCTCTCCTCTGTGTCATACAGCCGTAACAATGCGTCTGCCTTCATGTTCTTCGTACCCGGGATGTATGATCGTGTGAAATCAAACCGGGTGAAGATTCAGCCTCCTCGCTGCCCGGATGTACACCAGGTTACGGTGGTCCGTCCAGACGAGGAAAGGGTGTTTCGCCCCTTCGAGCCAATGCCTCCACACGGTCAGGGCTCAGACAACAGCCAACAGCTCCTGATCACCAATGTCGTAGTTCTGCTCCGCCGGGCTGAGCTTCTTAGAGAAGAAGGCACAGGGGTGGAGCTTGGGTAGCGTGCCCGAGCGTTTAGATAGGACAGCGCCTATCCCTACCTCGGACGCATCCACCTCCACTACGAACGGTAGTGATGGATCAGGGTGGGCCAGTACCGGGGCTGAGGTGAACAGACCCCTCAGGTTACTGAAGGCCCTGTCTGCCTCAGCAGACCAGCGGAGCCGGGAAGGCCCACCCTTCAACAGAGATGTAATGGGAGCTGCGACCTTGCCAAAGCCTCGGATAAACCTCTGATAGTAGTTGGCGAAGCCAAGAAAGTGCTGCACCTCGGCCAATTACGCACGGCTGAAATGTGATCTCCCTCCATCTCCACACCTGAGGTGGTAATGCGGTATCCGAGGAAGGAGACAGGCCGCTGGAAAAACATACACTTCTCTGCCTTGGCATAAAGGTCATTTTCCAACAGTCGGGCCAGCACTTTGCGAACCAGGGACACATGCTCGGTGCACGTAGCGGAATATACCAGAATGTCATCGATGTAGACCACTACACCACGACCAAGCATGTCCCGAAACACCTCGTTCACAAAGGACTGGAAGACGGATGGAGCATTCATCAAACCATAGGGCATCACCAGGTATTCATAATGCCCCGAGGTTGTGCTGAATGCTGTCTTCCACTCATCCCCCTCTCGGATACAAACCAGGTTGTACGCACTCTGATATCTAATTTGAAGCAGAAGCGCGCCCCATGCATTGACTCGATCACAGAAGGAATGAGGGGGAGAGGATAACTCAATCTTATTGTCTCCTTGTTCAGTAGTCGATAATCAATGCAAGGGCGCAGACCGCTGTCTTTCTTCTTCACAAAAAAGAAACTTGAGGAGGCGGGACGCAGGGATTCGGTGACGTATGTTTCCATCCATTTTTTTGGGTCTCCCGGACGCGGCCGGCTACGACAGAGCCTGGATTCGAACCAGGATCTCTAGTGGCACAGATAGCACTGCGATGCAGTGCCTTAGACCACTGCGCCACTCGGGAAGTTACAATGTCCTTATTCTTAGTTGTCTGTTTACTTTCATTCATTCTGGAAGTGGTCTTCTGAGGACGACTAATCAGCCGTGTTAATTATCCTTTTTGGGGTGATGAGAGCAGTGTAATAGACGATGGTTTGAAGAGAGGAAAAGGATGGTCCCACTTAAATTCACCTTCTTAGATACAGTACTTAGAACAGCTACTCAGCCATAACATTGATCGTTAGCGGAGGCAACTTTGTCGTCTTCACCTCGTGTTGATCTTCAGGGTCGGAACCAATATGGACAAAAGCTGCAGCTTGAGGTCCGTCTAGTCTGATCTGATAATTCTTATCTCAATCTTTATGCACTTTGGTAAAGAGGGGCGTTTACGTCATACTGACATGCTGTCTGAGCTCCCTCGGCGTGGCTAGTTACGAGGCAAAAGTATTATTATCACTATGATTTTGTTAGAAAGCTAAAATCACATTCCTATCTTCACGAAAACATTGTCTTCCTCCTTGATATTTTCTACCCAAGGTAAAGGATGTAAGCCTGATATCCACAGTGTAAAAGCTCTTCAAGTCACAATGTTTTCATTATAACGCCTTTATAAAATTTTGAATGACATCACAAAATATACATTAATTTTCTTTATTCCATTTCTCATCATTCCCAATGTTTGGATGTTGAAATATATTGTCCCAATGTTCATTGTTGGATGTTGAAGTTTTTGGGCGGCAAAAGTCTCTGAAACAAAGGACATTCCTTTCACCATACTAGGATGCCAGAGATAGATTCTCCTATCTCTAATTTATGGCAGTATTAAGGTGTCAAGACCGGCGCAGTGGGTTAGAGGGTCTGGTTGTTGTCGGCCATTTGCCAAGCTGATGTGAGGCCTTTGATCCTCACCCAAGGAGAGTCATGACAATGTGTTATTGTGCACCACTGAAAGTTGTTTACAGCAATGGGCTGCCCCATTACCCACTCATTTGAAATCAAAGTGATGTTTAAAATTTTTATTTAACACTGCAACATCATTCATCCAACTTACAGTTGGTGGAAATCTGAACTAGATTTAAAGTCAATTTTGTAGATAGTTGACCCACTTTTGGTAGGTGACCTCTCAGGGGAATAAACAGTCACTGATATCGCTTCATAAGGCACTTCAAATAGCCCTTTAGTAACCCCTTCACTAACCCTCACATCACAAATGATAAATGCAAACTTTCAGTAATCAATTACGTTTTGAGAATACAGTACATATCTTATTCTTCATTGGCGTGGTAAGTACAGAGGTTCTCACTCTATCCACAGGTGAAAAATGCTTTTCAGACGGCTTGTCAATTCTGGTGTTACTGTGGCAACACTGATTCTTTCTTCTGTTCTCCTCCTCGTCCCAGAGAGAGCATATTGATGAAGCATGGGGATTAGTATAGCTGACTGAGCCATCTGTCACTATATCACGTTATGAGGAGCGCTGCCAAGACACACTGTGCCCAATTCTCAAAGCAGCTATATACAGTAGACATACAGTACATTTTCCAGTGTAGCACCTGTCTAGAAAGAGTTTAGTTTTTTTCTGTGATCATATTTTTGGATGATAGCTTACCACAGAATTTCCCTGTCATGGCTTAGTTGGTTTCATGCTGTAGTTACTTGTACACTAAAGCAGTGTCAACCTTGTATTAACAAACACTTCAGGGATGGATTAGGTGAAACAGCATTGTGTCCATGTTGTTTTAATAAATGAGTTTGGTGGTGCTTAACGAAGAGAATAGCTGTGACTCAGTAGTTGTGCCCTACAGGATGGTACTATATTGTTTTGGTCACTCCCAGCCTTGCCCGCTGTGCAGAATATTATCATAAGGAAAGGTCACAGTGAATAATTCTCAGTTGGTTCTAGTTTAATTGGGCAGTTAATAATGTGCCTACCCTGCATACGATGAAAGAGCAGTACTTATGTTACAGGGTTGCAGCCTGCAAAGAAGCCAGTTATTTTCCCCGCTTAGAAAGAGGAGGGCATTGAAAAACAGTGGTAAAATAGCAGAGGCAAAATGTTGGCATTTGGAACCGAGTAAATCAGCCCAGACTTACCAAGTTTTCATGTAGCACATGTCACCCGAAATGCATGTCACGAGTATGTACTGTAATGTGCCTTGAAAATGTCAAGTCAAAACTCTGATCATCCATGACGCACCAACATTTGTGGGATTCAAGAGAACACATGAGCCATGATGCATCCTTTCTAGTTCAAATTACTACTGGGGTGAAAGTCTCAGTGACTTCAGAAAGATCTCTGGTGTTATACAGAATAGGCTTATCAGTACCTCCCACATGCTCGCCCTGTGGAATGCAGACAGACACAGACGGGACAGCAGAGATTACTGAGCGTAAACTGAGGGTCTTCCACAGATAACAAACACAGTATCACACACACACATAAACCTGGGTGTCTCTCACATGACTCCAAATATTCAATTTCATTTCAGGAAATGTAAAACTTCAAAATAAATAAATAAATGGTACTTTTTAATTCCTAAATCTGAATTTCGATGAATCTTCTTCATTGACTAAACTGACATGGAATTGACTCTAACCGTGTGTTTCCTATTGTGACCCAGTGGAGGCTGCTGAGGGGAGGAGGCTCATAATAATGGCTGGAACGGAGCTAATGGAGTGGCATCAAACACATGGAAACCATGTGTTTGATGTATTTGATACCATTCCACCAATTCCGCTCCAGCCATTACCACGAGCCCATCCTCCCCAATTAAGGAGCCACCAACCTCCTGTGTTGTGACCATATAAATAGAATAAATACTTCCATTTGCAGAGCACTTCATGTTGATGGTTATGTCCCTGTCCTCATGCAGCTCCGCACCGATGCTGAGAAGCGCTCCCTGGTGGAGAGTGGCCTGTCCTGGTACAGCGAGGATGCCAAGGCTGCACGCAAGATGGACGGGAGCAGCTACGAGACGGGGAGCCTCAAAACCGAGACCCCCAGCAAGTGGAGGAAGTCCTCCAGACCCATGGAGGGTGCTAGTGAGGATGCGGGGGTCAAGGGGGAACTGAGGAAGCCCCAGAACCTGGGTCAGCCAGGGAACTTTAAAAAGGGGCGCAACCCTCCTGTGGGCGTGACCTCACCCATTACCCACACCTCTCAGAGCGTCTTGAAAGTGGCAGGTGAGATTGGATCATTTTTGTTTTCTCTCTCTCCCTCTCGGACCTACTTCTCACACTCAGACATCCACACATTTCTCTATACATTAAACACATTTTTTGGGGTCCAGTCCTGTTGAGTTGGAAGTAACTTAGCAGTTTGATGATTAAGTATGCCATCATTATACAACCCCTATTACTAGCCTGTTCAACCTCTCTTTCATAACGTCTGAGATCCCCAGAGATTGGAAAGCTGCCGCGGTCATCCCCGTCTTCAAAGGGGGTGACACTCTAGATCCAAACTGTTACAGACCTATATCGATCCTGCCCTGCCTTTCTAAAGTTTTTGAAAGCCAAGTTAACAAACAGATCACCGACCATTTCGAATCCCACCGTACCTTCTCCGCTATGCAATCCGGTTTCCGAGCTGGTCATGGGTGCACCTCAGCCACGCTCAAGGTCTTAAACGATATCATAACCTCAATCGATAATAGACAGTACTGTGCAGCCGTCTTCATCGACCTGGCCAAGGCTTTCGACTCTGTCAACCACCGCATTCTTATTGGCAGACTAAATAGCCTTGGTTTCTCAAATGACTGCCTCGCCTGGTTCACCAACTACTTCTCAGATAGAGTTCCATGTGTCAAATCGGAGGACCTGTTGTCTGGACCTATGGCAGTCTCTATGGGGGTGCCACAGGGTTCAATTCTCGGGCCGACTCTTTTCTCTGTGTATATCAATGATGTCCCTCTTGCTGCTGGTGACTCTCAGATCCACCTCTACGCAGACGACACCATTTTGTATACATCTGGCCCTTCATTGGACACTGTGTTAACAAACCTCCAAACGAGCTTCAATGCCATACAACACTCCTTCCGTAGCCTCCAACTGCTCTTAAACACTAGTAAAACTAAATGCATGCTCTTCAATCGAACGCTGCTGGCACACGCCCACCCGACTAGTATCACTACTCTCGGCGGGTCTGACCTAGAGTATGTGGACAACTACAAATACCTAGGTGTCTGGTTAGACTGTAAACTATCCTTCCAGACTCACATTAAGCATCTCCAATCCAAAGTTAAATCTAGAATCGGCTTCCTATTTCGCAACAAAGCCTCCTTCACTCATGCAGCCAAACATGCCCTCGTTAAACTGACTATCCTACCGATCCTTGACTTTGGCGATGTCATTTACAAAATAGCCTCCAACCACTCTACTCAGCAAATTGGATGTAGTCTATCACAGTGCCATCCGTTTTGTCACCAAAGCCCCATATACTACCCACCACTGTGACCTGTACGCTCTTGTTGGCTGGTCCTCACTACATATTCGTCGCCAAACCCACTGGCTCCAGGTCATCTATAAATCACTGCTAGGCAAATCCCCGCCTTATCTTAGCTCATTGGTCACCATAGCAACACCCACCCGTAGTATGCAGGTATATCTCACTGGTCATCCCCAAAGCCAACAACTCCTTTGGCCGCCATTCCTTCCAGTTCTCTGCTGCCAATGACTGGAACGAACTGCAAAAATATCTGAAGCTGGAGACTCTTATCTCCCTCACTAACTTTAAGCATCAGTTGTCAGAGCACCTTACCGATCACTGCACCTGTACACAGCTCTTCTGAAATTAGCCCACCCAACTACCTCATCCCCATATTGTTATTTATTTTGCTCATTTGCACCCCAGTATCTCCATTTGCACATCATCTCTTGCACATATATCATTCCAGTGTTAATACTAAATTGTAATTATTTTGCACTATGGCCTATTTGTTGCCTTACCTCCATAACTTGCTACATTTGCACACACTGTATATATATTTTTCTGTTGTATTTTTGACTTTATGTATTTTTTACCCCATATGTAACTCTGTGTTGTTGTTTTTTATCGCACTGCTTTGCTTTATCTTGGCCAGGTCGCAGTTATAAATGAGAACTTGTTCTCAACTGGCTTACCTGGTTAAATAAAGGCGAAATAAAATAAAAAATGAAATAAAAAATATTCCAAGTGAGTGCTATACAGGAAAGACTTTAAGGGTTTTTACTTCATGCGTTAATAAAGAGTGTGTTTGTGTTAAAGTAGAAGTATAAATGGCGAGGAAACATAGGGAAGAAACATGAATGTTCACTTGTTTTGCAAGATATCCTTGTCATCCATAACCTCCCCTAAATGGATTCCACATGGAAAATCAAGTCTGTTTGTAGAGTAGCAACAGCCAGCGGATATCTGCTTGATATCAAATGAAATGTAGCAAGGCACTCTGGCTCTCTGTGCCAGTTTGATTGGTAGGTCTACTGTAGTACTGTACAGGAACACTGAGAATACATTATACTGTACAGGAACACTGAGAATGCATTATACTGTACAGGAACACTGAGAATGCATTATAATGTACAGGAACACTGAGAATACATTATACTGTACAGGAACACTGAGAATACATTATACTGTACAGGAACACTGAGAATACATTATACTGTACAGGAACACTGAGAATGCATTATACTGTACAGTGTATTCCATGCAGAACTGGGCTCATCTTTGTGGGTTTCCCTCTTGGTTCATCTTCCTATGTTTCTTGTCAAAAACAAACTGACTTCAGAGAATCACTGTCTGTGAAGCATTTTCAGTTTTTGAACATATTTTCATATTTTTGCATTACCTTAATTTGAAGACTATGGATATTTCATGAACCTTCATGGGCAGAATCAGTGGAAAAATGAAACTTAAACAGAAACCAACACAGTATAGTGCACAGTGCAGCATGACATTTCAAATGGCCAGTGTGTGTTTGTGAATATCTTTATGAATGGTGTCTTTTAAGACTGGATCTGCTGCTATATGACTGCTGCTATTGAGGCAGCATATCCCCTAAATCAGCTTTTTCTCTGATTCATAGTTTAATTAAATAAATATTTTCAGACTGAGACATAGGAAGAGTGTGCAGTGTAGTGTATTACCTTTTACACAGATTACAATGATGTGTAGTGACTCATCCGTCTGATCACTGCAGTTAAATTTCCTGACTGATGCAATTTATTGCAATGCCCTCTACCACGTATTTAGCTGATTTAATGTGGCTGATTATAAGGAGGTTCTAAGTGTCCATTATGTTTTTTGGCATCATTCTCTAGGATAAAAATGCAGTCTTGAGATATTCACACACATAGAGTATTTTGTTTTTACCCCCCCCCCCCCCCACCAATCAATTATGCTGCTCTATATGTCTGATTGTATCTTGCTCTCCAATGATGGTTGCCAAGTGAGGATTTTATACATGGGAAAGACTGGGAGCTATTTTACTAGGGTTTGCTTTTGCTTTGTCAACTCGCTTTCTCCATTTCTCCCTTTCCCTGACTGAGTAACATGAACTGTTACTTTATGCGCCTGTGATATAAGAGCAATCATTTATGCACTGATGTGTCTGAAAAACATTAAGCATGTCAATTTGAGTAACTTGTCCATTACAAGTTGCCAGAATAATGTCAATGCACAATCCACAGAGTGCCATTAATAAAACGACCAACTTTTCCCTCATTTTGTCCGGTCGCCAAAGTTATTGGGCGTTGCATTTCTTCACGTCTTGGTCAAGGGCCCAGTTTGTCACACAGACCGGTCTCCAATACTTTAGATAGATTTGTGTATCTGTATGTCGGTGACTCGCCCTCTTCATATAAACCATCTGTTAGTAAATACAGATGTTTCTTGCTTGTACGTTGACTCTGCTCTAATAACATGAGTTTATATGCAGCTGCTTTCATGTGACCAAATTTAGCCATTTAGCCATATTGTATGGTTCTGGTCATCGATGACTCCTCTGATTCCAACTGATTTCTCTGATTCATCCAACATTAGTCACAATGATTTCATCCTCATCCAGCCAGTTCACTGATGCTTTCTTTTACTCTTTCGATATTTCTGGGTAGGTTCACATTCAGCTGCACTCATTATCACAGCTTATTAGCCGACAGATAATTACTCTGTAATGTAATCTCATCTAAACTCTATATCTATCTATCTCTGTGTCTGCAGCACCAAAGTGTGACCACAAGGTGGTGGACAAGACCAAGATGTCTGTGAAGGCTGCTGGGCTGCAGCGCTCCCGTTCCGACGCCGGGAGAGAACACCTCCCGGAGCACCGGGAACACCGCAAGCCCCCGTCAGGCCTGGTCAAGCCCTCCGCCGGGGCCTCGTTTGGCTACAAGAAGTCCCCAACTACCGGCACTGCCACCGTCATGACAGCAGGGGGCAGCACCATCTCTAGTGGCTCTGCCACCGTGGGCAAGATGCCCAAGTCCTCTGGCATCCCTGTGAAGCCGATGGGTGTAGGAGGGGGAGGAAGAGGGGGGCATAAGAACAGCTTTGACGCCACAGGCAGTGAGGAGGGGGGCTTTCTGGGGCCCAACGCACGTAACAGCCTCCAGTACCGCAGCCTGCCGCGCCCTGCCAAGTCCAGCACCCTCAGCCTGATCGGCCGCCCTGGGTCGGCCCGGCCCGCCAGCAGCAGCATCGACTCCAGCCTGCTGAGCCTGAAGCCTGTCTCCATGGCCTGCCCTGGCCCCAAGGGGAAAGAGCCCGGCAGTGGAAGCACTAAGGGGGCCAGTCGAGGCGGGAGCACAGGCCCTGTCAACCAGACAGACCGGGAGAAGGAGAAGGAGAGAGCTAAGGCCAAGGCAGTGGCGTCTGATATGGACTCCCTGTGTGGCTCCCTGAAAATGGAAGACTGTCAGGGGGATTCTACTGGGGAGGCCAGCACCAAACTGCAGGGACTTCGGAGGGCCAGTAGCAGCAAATACCCCGAGCTCTCCTCGCCCACCACTCAGAGGTAAATTCACCATCATGATACATTCTCACACTGTTAAAGTCCTACAGTACGTTAAATGGTTCAACTTTTAGTAACAGTACTCCTTTTGCTGTGGTATGGTGTTTCTAGAATCAGCTATGTAGTCATGTGTTAGTATTGACTCAGTTTGCTCAGCTGAATGTTCTAAGACATTTTATGAAGAGTTGCTGTGTAATGTTTCTTAACCACTTAAACCGCTTAAAATAGACATATGAGAACAACACCGCAAGAAAACAAGGAACTGGCATTTTGTGTGCTGTGTTTTGCACTCATGTCTTATTCATGCCAGCCTGAGAACAGGACCAGACCAGTAGGGTTTCTGGAGCCGTCCTGGTGCTGTATGGTGCTGGATCTGACATTCTGTGTCTCGTGTCTAATTCATAGGATGCTGAGCTGCAAGTCTCTGGGTCGGCCACCCAGCCTTGCCCACCTGGACAAGGTCAACTCCAACAGCCTGGATTCGTGTGTGACCATCCAGGACCTCCCTCCCAAAGTGCCCCCCTACTCTAAGCTCCAGGACCTGGCCGGGTCCGGGTCACGCAGCCCGGCCCCCCGGGGCCTCACCCCTAGCCCAGCCCCCGTCCTGCACTTGGACTCCCCCAGCTGCTACCCCAGCCAGACCCTGTCCCTGGGGGGCTCTCCACTGCTGTACCCCAAACTGTCTGGCCTGCACCGTAGCATGGAGTCCCTGCCCCTCACCATGAGTGTTCCTCCCAGTGGAGGATATATCCGGGCAGAGTCCCGAGACAGGGACAGCGATAGGGAGGAGATGAGGGGCACAGGGACCTGGGGTGCTGGGAGCAGGACCTCCCTCAATCTCCCAGATAGGTGGGTCTCGACAGGAGTAACACCATGATGATGGGGTGGCATGGGTTGGGTAACCCTGTGCTTGTGGGGGGTGTCTTCACCAGTCTCACTAACGCAGCAGTCAGTATCTGTATGTAGCAACGTAGAATGATCAAACTATGCTACCTTATTTCTACTGCAACTGAGATATTATTAATAGCAAGAGGTTCTGTGATTGAACCAAAAAAAATCTACAGGTTTACCACTGGTTGATCATGGATTGTTTGATAGCAGAAAAGGTCATCTTTGTTTTCTTTCTCTACCAGTTTGCAAACAGACAGGAACACCTTACCTAAGAAAGGATTAGGGTATGTCAAGTAAGTTTCTCATAGTTTCCCGCCACATTTGCTTAATCAAATGATGTAGTATCTTAATCGTCCTAGGCGCATGTTTAATTGTTGCTCTCTTCTCCATGTCCTGCTCCAGTCGCTACAGCTCTGGTCCGTCTGAGGGTCAGTCGGAGGGGAAGGAGAGGCGTCACTCCCACACTGCAGTGAGCCTGACGGAGAGCGAGAGCCCCCCTCAGCTGCCATCGCCCACCCACATGCCACACCTCTCCTCTGGCAAGGCCGTCCTCACTAACGTCGGTGAGTCTCAGTCTACTTTCGTCCATCTACTGTCCTCCAGCTCCAATGACTGACTGACAAACTCTGTCTAACTCTAAACTCTCATTTCGAAAGAAAATCTATTTATTTTGTCCATTAAAATAACATCAAATTGATCAGAAATACAGTGTAGACATTTTTAATATTGTAAATGGCTATTGTAGACTCCGGGATGCTGACCTTCTAGGCAGAGTTGCAAAGAAAAAGCCATATCTCAGACTTGCCAGTAAAAATAAAAGATTAAGATGGGCAGTCTGAGATATACAGTTGAAGTCGGAAGTTTACATACACCTTAGCCAAATACAACGAAACTCATTTATTCACAATTCCTGACATTTAATCCTAGTAAAAATTCCCTGTCTTAGGTCAGTTAGGATCACCACTTTATTTTAAGAATGTGAAATGTCAGAATAATAGTAAAGATAATTATTTATTTCAGCTTTTATATCTTTCACCACATTCCCAGTGGGTCAGAAGTTTACATACACTCAATTATAATTTGGTAGCATTGCCTTTACATTGTTTAACTTGGGTCAAATGTTTCGGGTAGCCTTCCACAAGCTTCCCACAGTAAGTTGGGTGAATTTTGGCCCATTCCTCCTGACAGAGCTGGTGTAACTGAGTCAGGTTTGTAGGCCTCCTTGCTCGCACACGCTTTTTCAGTTCTGCCCACAATTTTTCCTTAGGATTGAGGTAAGGGCTTTGTGATGGCTACTCCAATACCTTGACTTTGTTGTCCTTAAGCCATTTTGCCACAACTTTGGAAGTATGCTTGGGGTCATTGTCCATTTGGAAGACCCATTTGTGACCAAGCATTAACTTCCTGACTGATGTCTTGAGATGTTGCTTCAATATATCCACATACTTTTCCTTCCTCATGATGCTATCTATTTTATGAAGTGCACCAGTCCCTCCTGCAGCAAAGCACCCCCACAGCATGATGCTGCCACCCCCGTGCTTCACAGTTGGGATGGTGTTCTACGGCTTGCAAGACCCCCCTTTTTCCTCCAAACATAACGATGGTCATTATGGCAAAACAGTTCTATTTTTGTTTCATCAGACCAGAGGACATTTCTCCAAAAAGTACGATCTTTGTCCCCATGTGCAGTTGCAAACCGTACTCTGGCTTTATTATGGCGGTGTTGGAGCAGTGGCTTCTTCCTTGCTGAGCGGCCTTTCAGGTTATGTCGATATAGGACTCGTTTTACTGTGGATATGGATGCTTTTGTACCTGTTTCCTCCAGCATCTTCACAAGGTCCTTTGCTGTTGTTCTGGGATTGATTTGCACTTTTCACACCAAAGTACGTTCATCTCTAGGAGACAGAACGTGTCTCCTTCTCGAGTGGTATGATGGCTGCGTGGTCCCATGGTGTTTATACTTGCGTACTATTGTTTGTACAGATGAACGTGATACCTTCAGGCGTTTGAAAATTGCTCCCAAGGATGAACCAGACCTTTGGAGGTCTACAATTCTTTTTCTGAGGTCTTGGCTGATTTCTTTAGATTTTCCCATGATGTCAAGCAAAGAAGCACTGAGTTTGAAAGTAGGCCTTGAAATACATCCACAGGTACACCTCCAATTGACTCAAATTATGTCAATTAGCCTATCAGAAGCTTCTAAAGCCATGACATCATTTTCTGGAATTTTCCAAGTTGTTTAAAGGCACAGTAAACTTCTGACCCACTGGAATTGTGATACAGTGAATTATAAGTGAAATAATCTGTCTGTAAACAATTGTTGGAAAAATTACTTGTGTCATGCACAAAGTAGATGTCCTAACCGACTTGCCAAAACTATAGTTTGTTAACAAGAAATTTGTGGAGTGGTTGAAAAATGAGTTTTAATGACTCCAACCTAAGTGTATGTAGACTTCCAACTTCAACTGTATGTACACTATATGACCAAAAGTATGTGGACACCTGCTCGTCTAACATCTCATTCCAAAACCCTTTACTGCCGCTCTTCTGGGAAGGGTTTCCACTGCTGCAGGGACTTGCTTCCATTCAGCCACAAGAGCATTAGTTAGGTCGGGTATTGATGTTTGGCGATTAGGCTGGCTCGCAGTCGACATACCAATTCAGCCCATAGGTGTTCGATGGAGTTAAGGTCAGGGCTCTGTGCAGGCCAGTCAAGTTGTTCCACACCGATCACAACAAACCATTTCTGTATGGACCTCGCTTTGTGCACGGGGGCATTGTCATGCTGAAACAGGAAAGGGCCTTCCCCAAACTGTTGCTACAAAGTTGAAAGCACACAATCGTCTAGAATGTAATTGTATGCTGTAGCGTTAAGATTTCCCTCCATCAAACTTTACAGTTGGCACTATGCATTGGGGCAGGTAGCGTTCTCCTGGCATCCGCCAAACCCAGATTCGTCCGTCGGACTGCCAGATGGTGAAGCGTGATTAATCTCTCCAGAGAACGCGTTTCCACTGCTTCAGAGTCCAATGGCAGCGAGCTTAACACCACTTCAGCCAACGCTTGGCATTGCGCATGGTGATCTTAGTCTTATGTGCAGCTGCTCGGCCATGGAAACCCATTTTTGAACCTCCCGATGAACAGTTATTGTGCTGACGTTGTTTCCAGGGGCAGTTTGGAACTCGGTAGTGAGTGTTGCAACCGAGGACAGACGATTTTTACTCGCCAATCCCGTTCTGTGAGCTTGTGTGGCCTACCACTTTGCGGCTGAGCCGTTGTTGCTCCTAAATGTTTCCACTTCACAATAACAGCACTTACAGTTGACCGGGGGAGCTCTAGCAGGGAAGACATTTGACGAACTGACTTGTTGTATAAAAGTATGTGGACACCCCTTCAAATTGTGGATTCGGCTATTTCAGCCACACCCGTTGCTGACAGGTGTATAAAATTGAGCACACAGCCATGCAATCTCCAAAGACAAATAATGGCACTGCTAGAGCTGCCCCGGTCAACTGTATGTGCTGTTATTGTGAAGTGGAAACATCTATGAGCAACAATGGCTCAGCCGCAAAGCAGTATGCCACACAAGTTAACAGAAAGGGATCGCCGAGTGCTGAAGCGCGTAACGTGTAAAAATCGTCTGTCCTATATTGTATATATCATGTTGACTGTTGTGGACCCTGAGTGTCTCTTTATACTGAGTCACCAGGGTTGTTTGTGTGTGTTTGCGCACGTGTGCATGCAGGTATGTGTGAGTGCGTGAGTATGTGGTGTAGTTACATGCCTCATTGTACTGTGTCAGTTTGCCTCTTACCCATCCCAACCTTCCTGTCTTCCAAGTTGCCCCCATCCCGAGCGGTGCCCCCAGGATAACCCGCTCCAACAGTATCCCCACCAATGACGCGGCCTTCGACCTGTACGGCTCCTCTCCACTGGGCAGCAGCGTGTCACTGGCCGACCGGCCCAAGAGCATGATGCGCTCTGGATCCTTCCGCGAGCCCGGGGATGACTGTGAGACAGCTAGCACATGTAAGATACCTGTATACAGATATATCATTCCTTTCTTATGGCTAGCCGCTATGGCTCCATTTCTAAGGCTAGCCCCTTTTGGGTTGTCATTCTACTACTGGGGCCCTCAGTTGATAAAGGTCAACTCAGGAAATGAATTGAAATTCCAATTGCCATTTGAGTGAGTGTGTTGAGTTTTTATGACTTGGAATTTCTATTTTCTTTACTCCCTGAATATATTTTAGGGAAACTGAACATTCCCCTGATGTTGCAGACCCAGGGCTAGACAACCCTTGAGTATAGTAGTGTCCTTGAGGCTGTGTTCCTTGTACAGAGAGAGGGAGAGGGAGGGAGCGGGTGAGGCAGTGAGCGAGAGAAATTGAGTGCCTCCATGTTAGAGTTATGTGAAGGTATAATGAGGTGACCCGGTTTGTCTCTATCACTTCTCTGAAGTCATTTATCTCTTCTTCAACGTTGTCTGCGTTGGATTATGCTGTATGTTGTTTTCTATGAAGTACTTATATACTGCCACAAGTAAACTGTAATTTATACCTTGTTGTAAATCTACACACACACAGTAGCAGATTTATTGGATACAACGTTGTGTTTAAAAATCTGAACAATGATAGATGAGTGATATTGTTAGCATATTCTGTGAGGTATGGAGATGGCATATTTCAGTACTAAACCATGTTATGTATTATTCTCTCTTTTTCTACCTCTTTTAGTCCATGGCTCTGTCCTGTCCTTGGCATCCAACGCTTCATCAAACTATTCCTCTGTGAGTAATATCATTATTTAATAATACAGAAATAGTTATTGTGCTCAGCTGTTGTGTGCCCACAGGGCGTACTTTCATGATTATAACTGTTGGACCCTTCACAATGACATGACTGTGTGTGATACAACCAGAACAGTACCAGGCCTGGCCAGCCAACTGTACAAATACAGCCATGTACAGTAGTTTTGTGAGGTGAGATGTTGCCACTGAGGCGTTCCAGAGCTGAAACCTTGTTCAAAGACTACCTTTTACCTCAGAACATTGGGTTTTCTCACCTTTTCCAAATTTGCCCATTGTTAACATACAGGTAACTGCCAAAATAAAGGAAACACTTCAGTAAATGAGGGATACAAAGTATATTGAAAGCAGGTGCTTCCACATGGGTGTGGTTCCTGAGTTAATTAAGCAATTAACATCCCATCATGCTTAGGGTCATTATTTGGGCTACCATGTCTAGAAGGCGAGATCTCAGTGACTTTGAAAGAGGGGTCTCAAAGGACCATAGCAGGTTTAAAGGGTGTGTGTGCATGTGTGTGTGTGTGTGTGTGTCTCAGTCACCAGATCTCAACCCAATTGAACACTTATGCGAGATTCTGGAGCGGCGCCTGAGACAGCGTTTTCCACCATCATCAACAAACACAAAATTATAGAATTTCAAGTGGAAGAATGGTGTCGCATCCCTCCAATATGCTGCGTTTACACAGGCAGCCTAATTCTGATATTTTTACCACTAATTGGTCTTTTGACCAATCACATCAGGGGCTGTATTTTAACAAACCTAACGCAATGGTAAATCTTATGTGCTGGCGGTAGTGCTATAGGTTCGGGGGGGTGTCAGAAATATTTGTGCTATTTTCTCAACCAGAATTATGGGCCCAGCAGCTGGTGGTGGCTTGAAAAGGCTGGGTTTTGACAAATAAACAAGTTGAAGGTATGTTGAGGCTTGACCCCTTACTGGCCAATCAGAACATGCTCCATGGGTAAATATGTTTTACGGTCTTTTATGTATTGCGTTGTCATCAACTCCAATTCGAATGATAGTCCGTTATAGCCTAGTTTGCCTTGTCTGTTATAGCCTAACCCTAACCTTTACCAAACCATTTAAAATGTCAACTTCAATGGGGTAGGGACGTCCCAAGGAACCATTATAGCAAGGACCTTTGTTAAATAGCCTACAGAAACAAAATAACAAAATGTAGGCCTATCCCATATTTGTTTTTGAACAGTAATTGCATGGCTACAATATAGAAATATATTCCTAACATAGTATTCGCACTGATATAAGCCTACTGTAAAATGCATTATATCTGAGCCATGGACATGCCATACGTTGTCAATAAGCAAGATTAAATTAACTTTTGCTAACACCTAAAAAGACAGTGAATAATTCTAATCAAATTCGAATAAAACAAAACAAATCTTGTTTCAAATGGGAGAATGTCAAAATACAGTTACAGGCACCATAATATATCCCCGTGGGCATATCATATTTAGGCCTAAGACAACGTAGACAATGGAAGGTTTTACGCACATCCAAACTTTTCACAGGAGCTGGAAAAATATCCAATATATAGAGAAAGGGGGAATGTCCACTCACCGTTACTGCTCCCAAATATATACGTATAGCTATAGCCTACCATCGCCGTTGATATGGCCAGTAGTGACTTTGCCACGTGAAAGGTAAACAAACAGGCAAATATAGCCTACAAATGGATTCAGCACCACGGACAGCGATCAGAATTCCCACGATTTGAAAGTTAGGTCCAACAGAGGAAAGTGGAAAATGCATTTTTTAACAAAATGATCAATAAAAAACAATAAGCAGTCTTTTTAAATAACTTGATGTTCCTAAACAGGCTTCCTACAGTCACTGACACCTTTCATGCCAGATTGTGTCCAATGTCCAATATAAATAAAACTAATGGAGTGAACGTTATTTATAATAAGGGTCACATGGAGAAAATCGGACCTTTCTGAAACGAAAATGGATGGCCCTCCCTTCAGCAAAGTATATTTTACCTAAACCCTCCATGAACGCTTGAAAAAATAAAAGTGACCCTCTCCTATACCCAAAATAATAATTAAAACAAAGTGGATAGCAGAGAACATGTCTACATTTTACCCTCACTTCTTGGACAGATGCAGTTTTTAGAAACTGTTCTTCGTCCTGTAAGCATTACATGGCAACGCAGGAATTTTGATAGCGCATAGGGCTGCGGGCCAGAAGGTTGTGGGTTCGCAGACCACTGTGGGCAAGAGTAGGGATGGAAAGATATCCTTCATAGTAAAAGCGTTGCATGAATCAATCATCGTATTTGCAGGTCCAAGACAAAATGGCCTCATAAACATTTCATGCAATTCTGCGTCATTTTGCATGTTAGCAGAATATTTTTTAATATCACACAAATTACCAAAATTACAGGCTAAGAATGAACAAAGAGATATGCGATGTTATCATAATTCTTCAATGCCAAATCAGTGTGTCTTGTTTACAATGAAACTGTCCCGATTTCCAAATAGCAAGTCTATTTTTTGTCTCCTCAGCTATAAAGGGTGGCGGTCAGACTCTGAATGTCAAAGAAACTAAACAATGATATCCCCATATGCATCAGAGTTACGTATTTTCCGGCTATTTTACAGCTTGTTTCTAGCATAAATCATCACGGACCAAAGCACTGTTATAGATCACTTTATATCATTGGAACCATTTTATTTTCTTCTAAATCTTAAGCTAACACTTGGTAGACCTGTCCTTTTTGCCATTTTCTTTAATACATGGTAGGCCTATGGCATACCCTCTCATACCCCCTCAATTCGAGTCTTGGTTTTAACTTAACAGCCCTTCACTGACACGGAGGTAGGCTATTTAAAGAGTGCATGGTGGGTGGGGAATTGACTGACAAATCTATGGATGTAGCAGCCTATAGCCTAATTTCGAATGTCAAAGAAATAGGCTCAAACTCATAGCCCCCTTGTTGTTGGTAAAGTCTAATTAAAATTAAGATGGTTGAAATGAATTATGTCTACTCGAATGTGCCTACTTTCAGCACAATGTGCTGTCCATTTCCAATTGATTGTGCCACGGTTGCTGCTTCAAGTTTCAGCACCACAATGTAAGTTACTCGAATCTGGCTTATTTCCATAACTCTGATAAATACACTACCGGTCAAAAGTTTTAGAACACCTACTCATTCAAGGTTTTTTCTTTATTTTTACTATTTTCTACATTGTAGAATAATAGTGAAGACATCAAATCTATGAAATAACACATATGGAATCATGTAGTAACCAAAAAAGTGTTAAACAAATCAAAATATATTTTATATTTGAGATCCTTCAGATAGCCACCCTTTGCCTTGATGACAGCTTTGCACACTCTTGGCATTCTCTCAACCAGCTTTTCCAACAGTCTTGAAGGAGTTCCCACATATGCTGAGCACTTGTTATCGCCCACCGAAAATAGATCCCCAGATCTTATCTCATCAGATCTTTTTCAGAGCTGATCTGTTTGGTCAAAAGACCAATTAGTGAAAAAAAATATCAGAATTGGGCTGCCTGTGTAAACACAGCCTTATAGTTCTAGACACTTTAGAATCTATGCAAATCTACGCATTGAAGCTTTTCCCAACGCCCTATTAAGACACTTTATGTTGGTGATTCCTTTATTTTGGCAGTTACCTGTACTTACCATTTGTTTATCCAGGTCTTTACCATGATGTTTACGTTATATAAAACCTCACCTCTCATGCACTACAAAGTCTCACAAGCTGTGGTTTGACTGCTACTGATACCCATATACAGTATATCCTTATACAGAGTCATTATTTTAGGGTGTATTCTACCCTGCCTTTACCCTGCTGAACGCTTACAAGATGCAGTCTAAATCCACTGCCCTCTATAAACTCAGGATTGTACCTTAGGCCAGAGCTACTGTGAGACTACCACAACCCACCGTAACCTCAACTGCCCCCAAGTTCACTTTATCTGCTTTCTTCTCATTTCTTCTTTCTGTCCTACTATGCTCTCTAAGACTGAGGAGAGGATACAAGGAGAGGTAAGGCTAACATGTTCTGCTCTTCAACTCTCCCTTCATCATCTTCATCTTCCAAATATCATCTAATTCGCTCTCGTCCATCCGTACCGTTCACGTCCATCCATTCAGCAGTGATTCAGGATCAGAATCATTGCTGTTTTCCCCAAACAAATGTAATTCATTTAGCATGTTCAGAGTAACTCGACATGCAGTGATATTGCTGTCCAGCAACCATTGTGTCTCTTGTTTTTCATGAAGTTACTACTTTATATTTTAATCTTCTCCCATCCATATGCTTACTTTGTGTCATGCACCTTACCCAGCCAATACCTCATTCCATGTACTACCATAGAGTGTAAGGTGCTTTGATATGTGGAGAAGTAAATTAGGTATGATCTTTGCCTGCTCTGCCTTTCTAAATGACCTTGTTGTTGTCGTCTTCTTCACAGCAAATCCGCAAGCTGAGACGCGAGCTGGAGAACTCCCAGGAAAAAGTGGCCAACCTGACCACCCAGCTGTCTGCCAACGTATGTAGAACAGGCTTCTCACGTTTCAACCTCTGAGCTTCTATAAGGTGGCCAAATTTGTTTCTGCCGTTATCTAGTCTCGAGTCGCTAGGCGCTAAGTCTTGCATCGGTATGTAGCCTAAGTCTGGACAAATCAAACTATGGTACTGTATGCTACTCCAATATTGGTGGCTAAATGACAAAGGAGTTGGCTAAAGCATTCTGGCTACCAGACAATCTATATGGCTGACTAATTAACCAACTGACTCACCTTTGTTCTATCACGATTCTATTATGTTCTACCATCATTCTAATATGATTGGTTGTGAGAGACTCTGTTAACAGCAGTCTCACGTACCATGGTAGCAGGATCCATTTGTTCATTTTCAATATAAAAAAAACTAATTTCTTTATGTCTGTGTTGGGACATATGATGGATGGAAGCTGAATGAGACTGAATCCAAGTCTATTAAGAGTCATCTAATAATATGAATTAACCTGTCTCTGGGTGCCAGACATTGTGATCAGGTCTTTACCACACAAGCCAACACAAAAACCATGTCAAATTCAGATATTTTTTAAAAAGATATTTAAAGCACTTGGATCATCAGGCATTAATTACACTGATGTTGAGGTACGAAAGGAAAGCATGCATAGTGGAGAGGGTGAGATCAGATATGGTGCTGGCTATGATAGATTTATGGCCCTATCTGTGACTTTACTGCCCAGTGTTGAATGCATACAGTACCTTGCAAAAGTATTCATCCCCCTTGGTGTTTTTCCTATTTTGTTGCATTACAACCTGTAATTTAAATGGATTTTTATTTGGATTTCATGTGAAGGACATACACAAAATAGTCCAAATTGGTGAAGTGAAATGAAAAAAGTAACTTGTTTCAAAAAATGTAATAATGGAAAAGTGGTGCGTGCATATGTATTCACTCCCTTTGCTATGAGGCCCCTAAAAAAGATCTGGTGTAACCAACTACCTTCAGAAGTCACATAATTAGTTCAATAAAGTCTACCTGTGTGTAATCTAAGTGTTACATGATCTGTCACATGATCTCAGTATATAGACACATGTTCTGAAAGGCCCCAGAGTTTGCAACACCACTAAGCAAGGGGCACCACCAAGCAAGCGGCACCATGAAGACCAAGGAGCTCTCCAAACCGGTCAGGGACAAAGTTGTGGAGAATAAAACAGTAGATCAGGGTTGGGTTATTAAAAGATATCCGAAACTTTGAACATCCCACGGAGCACCATTAAATCCATTTGTAAAAAATTTGAAGAATATGGCACCACAACAAACCTGCCAAGAGAGGGCCGCTCACCAAAACTCACGGCCCAGGCAAGGAGGGCATTAATCAGAGAGGCAACAAAGAGACCAAAGATAACCCTGAAGGAGCTGCAAAGCTCCACAGCGGAGATTGGAGTATCTGTCCATAGGACCACTTTAAGCCATGCACTCCACAGAGCTGGGCTTTACGGAAGAGTGGCCAGAAAAAAGCCATTGTTAAAGAAAAAAATAAGCAAACACGTTTGGTGTTCGTCAAAAGGCATGTGGGAGACTCTCCAAACATATGGAAGAAGCTACTCTGTTCAGATGAGACTAAAATTGGCCATCAAGGAAAACGCTATGTCTGGCGCAAACCCAACACCTCTCATCACCCTGAGAACACCATCCCCACAGTGAAGCATGGTGGTGGCAGCATCATGCTGTGGGGATGTTCTTCATCGGCAGGGACTGGGAAACTGGTCAGAATTGAAGGAATGATGGATGGCGCTAAATACAGGGTAATTCTTGAGGGAAACCTGTTTCAGTCTTTCAGAGATTTGAGACTGGGACGGAGGTTATGAATAGTTATGCACGCTCAAGTTTTCTGTTTTTTTTGTCCTATTTCTTGTTTGTTTCATCCCCAAAAAATATTTTGCATCTTCAAAGTGGTAGGCATGTTGTGTAAATCAAATGATAAAAACCGACCAAAAATCAATTTTAATTCCAGGTTTTAAGGCAACAAAATAGGAAAAATGCCAAGGGGGGTGAATACTTTCGCAAGCCACTGTAGAAATCTAACTCGCTGACCGAAATCCACTCAATGAAAATTAAGCTAAAACTAAGCTAGTATTGGTTAGAGCTTGGCTCAAGAGTTTTCCCCGGTCATGTGACCTCAACAGAAAAAAAATTCTGGCCATTGTTGTAGTTACTAAGCAGACATAACCCTATAGTGTTCTGAATGGGCTAAATGCCCACCTTGGCTTTGGACTTGCCAGCTATGGTTAGCCTACTAGAGGCTGGCTCTGGCCCCCCGCTCCATACCCAGGGAGTGAGTAAAGCGATGCTGGTGGAGATTTATGAACCATAGGCACAACATGGTCTCAGGGCAATTGGTATTATTCTGTACGTAAATGTATAGACTCCATATAGTATGATATGTTATGTTACGTTAGGTTACATTGTGAATGGAATAGCAGTCTTACAATATCATATGAATTAGAGGACGTATAGTATCATACGTGTTACCCGGTCGTACAATAGCATACGAATTGGATTATGTAATTTATCATACGTCTTGGTGGACGTATAGGATAGGTCTTTCTCTGAGACCAAGTTTCTTGTTGCATCGTAACAACAAAGGAGAATTAAGGGGAGAATTAATGCTGGTGGTTAGGTGAACTATCAACAAAGGTTAGAATAATTTACATGAAAGGTTAGGGGAACTAAAACGACAAAGATTAGGTGAATTTATGTAGCAAATTAGATTAATTGGGTTAAGTTTAGAATAAGGGTTAGGGGAAGGGTTAGCTAAAATGCTACAGTTGTCCCCGACGCGATTCGAACACGCAACCTTTGGATTGCTAGACGGTCATGGATTACACTCTCCCATCCTCCCCAAGCAACCTCCCTACTTTTGTTTCTGTCTAAAGTAACTAGACCATTAGTAGGTATCATATGTCTTGGAGGTGCTCAGAAATACGTAAAGTAAAATCAAATGAAATCAAAAATTATTTGTCACATGCGCCGAATACAACAGGTGTAGTAGACCTTACAGTAAAATGCTTACTTACAAGCCGTTAACCAACAGTGCAGTTTTAAGAAAATAAGTGTTAAGTAGAAAATAATTATAGAGCAGTAGTTAAATAACAGTAGCGAGGCTGTTAAGAAGCCTTTTGGACCTAGACTTGGTGCTCCGGTACCGCTTGCCGTGTGGTAGCATAGAGAACAGTCTATGACTAGGGTGGCTGGAGTCTTTGGACATTTTTAGGGCCTTCCTCTGACACCGCCTGGTATAGAGGTCCTGGATGGCAGGAAGCTTGGCCCCAATGATGTACTGGGCCGTACACACTACCCTCTGTAGTGCCTTGCGTTTGGAGGCAGAGCAGTTGCCATACCAGGCGGTGATGCAACCAGTCAGGATGCTCTCAATGGTGCAGCTTTTTGAGGATCTGAGGACCCATGCTAAATCATTTCAGTCTCCTGAGGGGGAATAGGCTTTGTCATGCCCTCTTCACGACAGTATGTTTCGTATGGCTCTGAGGCCGGGCCCACAGGGGGTAAACTAGCAACGCTGCACCCCACCACCTTATCAAACCTTTCTCTCTCCCCTGTACTGCCACAACCCCTTTTATTCTCTCTGCACTATACCTCCACACCCCATCCGCCCCTCACCCCATCAACCTTTCCTCCCCTCACTGCCCCTGCTCCTCACCTCAGCCTAACAATCCGGCTACTAGATGCTTCATATATTAGATGTGTTACGAGAGTGAGTGACAGAATGCCATGTACTATATGTGTTCATGTTGAAAGAGACATGAAATCTTGGGAGGTGCCTACCAATCCAAAACCAAAACTCTTTTCAGGAACTGCACTTGATGACTATATTGCATGCTGTTTAAGTAAAGAAAGTCAAGTCCACTACACTACTAACACTGTCCATTGGCAATACCCTTTAACCTGGTATAACCTGAGTGTGTTACTGCTACTGTATGATTGAGTGTGATATGACCACAGACCTTGGTTCAGTATTAATACATTAATAAACAGTATTTATAAAACAATTGATAAAAACCTATACAGTAGGACAAATTCTAATTTCGCTTCAGCACTTACACACTGGATTATTGTGTCTTTAGTATGTGATAAATTGTATGATGTTGCTTTTAACTGTAATTTATTATTACTGTAAATAGCCCTCTGGCCCAATGTCTGTCTGTGTGTGTCTAGGTTGTGTGCGTACGTGTGCATGCATGCGTGTGTGTGCGTGCGTATGTATGTACGTGTGTGTGCATGCGTATGTGTGGGTGCATGCGAGGAGTGTGATCCCGGCCTAACGCCACTGTCCCTCTCTCCTCCACTGTTCGCTGTATTGAACGCTGGTTCTGGACTCTTTGCTGCCCCCTGCCTACTGGCCACTGACCCACACCTCTGGATGCTGGGTATAGCAGCTAGGCCAGGTTTGTTGGACTGTCTGTTGCTTCCAGATCCCTCCTCCGTCCTTCACTGTCGCATGACTCTCGCTCTCTCTCTCTGACCGCCCATCCCGTCCCACAGGCTGACAGGCTGACCTGGTGCTGAGGTTCCTGTTTGAGTCGCCGTGTGGTGCCACCAGCCAGGCCTCGACACCTACCTTGAAGCATGTGGATGATCTGTAGTTTTAGGTTTAAATAAGCTTCTGTACTTTACAATTGCCATGTAAAAATTAGCCAATGTTGAAATGTAAGAGAATGTAAAGATGGTAGCCTTGTTACAAGATACATACACATACCATATAAGTACAAACGACTGGCTGAAGTTTATTATTACGGTAAATTAGAGTCACATTCAGTACTATGAGGGTTCAGAAAGGTCTCCCATGCTACATCAGGTTGGAGAGGCCTGTGCCCCAGTGCCATACTCCAGTCACCTCTCACTTGCACCCCACCCCTCCTCTCCTCCCTTCCTTTCATCCTCCACAGCTGTCCCATCCCTTCACCCCTCCCTCCTCTCCTCCTGGCAGATGGAGAAAGCCATTTGCTTGATGTGCATTGAGCCTGTGGTACCTGCGGCCTCTACACTGCAGTGACTCATCTCTGTATTCTCTCTCTCTCCCTCTCTTTTTCTCTCTCTCTCTCTCTCTCTCTCTCTCTCTCTCTCTCTCTCTCTCTCTCTCTCTCTCTCTCTCTCTCTCTCCCCCTCTCTCTCTCCCTCTCTCTCTCAAGGCTAATTTGGTAGCAGCGTTCGAGCAGAGCCTGCAACTGATGACGTCACGTCTGCAGAGCCTGTCAGTCAGCCAGGAGCAGAAGGTACCGGTAAATGCAGCTGCATTATTCTGCCCTCTCTTACATCCTCCCACGATGAGGGGGGGGGGGGGGGGCGTTTATTTTCCGAAACTTCAATGGAGCGGAGTTCTGCGCTATTCATTTACTGTCCAGCTATTTCCAACCAATGTCAAAAGAATGTCCGTAAGAGATGTTTATTATTCAGCTTTCCCGTTTACCATAATGAGTTGTAGCAAACAGAGCTTCAAGTTGTGAGAGTTTCATAAAAAATGCATGTGGAGAATTAATGTTAACCAATAGCTTTTCAAACAAATAAACCAATTTGACTTTTGTTCTATGAGAAGGCGGAGAGCAAAGTGAGCATAGAGTGGAGACCGAGTCCGATCTCCTCAGTGTGTTTTGACAGTCAAGGCTAACATCCTGTACCACAACATGCCCTTGAGCATTATCCGCATGACCACCCCAAAGCCCTGGCACCATCTACCTGTATCATCCTTTTGGAGAGCTGAGGACAAAGACTGTCAGGGGGACAGGAAATGAAATCTAGGTCAAAGGTTGACATGGTGCTAAGGTCTTGTTTTCACTAGCCACTCAGCACAATCGTTCAAGCCTTCAGGTCTGAGACACCATAGACACACCATAGTCAGTCCCCCGTATATGACTGCTGTCAGGTGCTCAATGGGGTACATTAGCCCAGAAGATGTACAGTAAGGAGTCCCGTCTCGACCTCAGAGTAAGGTTGCAAAATTCCTGTAACTTTCCCAAAATTCCCAGGTTTTCCAGAAATCTGGATTTCTGGAAAACTTCGGAATTTGGGGAAAGTTACCAGAATTCTGCAACCCTAGAGGCAGCAGACAGTTGTACTGTATGGTAATGTATTGGTCCTGTTTCCCTGTAGGACTCTGAGCTGACTGATCTGAAGGAGACCATAGAGATTCTGAAGACGAAGAACACAGAGGCCCAGGATATCATCCATGTGGCCCTCAGCAACCCTGACATCCCTCCTAAAGGTAAGGAGCCAACCAAGGGCCTAACGTTCTTTCACCATAATCCCTTCAACCATTCCTTCTCTTCTCCAGAACAGTTGTTCTCTTCTTCACCACCCTCACTAGCTCCTCTTGTCTCTCCAGAGCTGCAGATGAAGAGGCAGAACTCGTCCGAGAGCATCTCCAGCCTGAACAGCATCACCAGCCACTCCAGCATGGGCAGTCTGAAGGAACAGGAGGCCAAGAAGAAGAAGAAGAGCTGGGTGAGAGCACAGAACCGCCTGAGCTGTAAATAGAATATAGAATTAGAATCAGGATTCTAATTGGGTTTCTGGTTCTATGAGAGAACCATCTCACTAGGGTCAGGGCAGTTGTACTGTCTATTGTCTATTGGTGTCCAACAGTGCGAAAACCTACAATTTGTATTCCTGTAGTTCACTATATCAAGAGTTTACCACTGGGCTGGCTAGTAACAAGCAATGTGGGTAACTTTACTTAACTTTAGGTGATCTAGCTAATGTATGTATTCATAAAGCCTTCATAAACTCTACATAACATGTTTTACACAAGCTATAAAATGACATAAACATTCTAAAGAGCTTATAAACAATAAAATAGCAACATCATGAAGTTATGAGGTTGGCATAGTATAGGATAGTTTAGAATCCTAAATTATGTTTTGCATTGAAAAGAGAGAAACCATCCAGCCGCTCTCTCTGTGTCTGTGCTCCTGCATGTGTGGGTTCTCTCTCTCTCTCTCTCTCCAAATCTGATATTAAGTATGACTCCTCTCTGATCTCTTTCTCATGCTTCCCTGCTACTGTATTTTATTCAGGTCTTTGAGGTGAGTAGTGGACATTGTAAGAGCCCCAAGTCCTCCCTCCCTCCCTCCCTCCCTGCACTGATGAGTCATACTTGTTAGATATTTGGAAAAGCTGTGTGGTTTTTCATCCCATATTAAACCTAGCTAACTCCACTTCATTCACTAACAGTACGTTACGTAAGCATCCATTTTTATATGCACCATTTACTGTAAATATAAGGCGGATAAATGATTCAGAAATCACAAAGAAAGTAAATTGGATAATCAGACGACAACAAATGTTTTCAAATTCTGTTTTGATTTCATGCAAAGCTTGTGTGAAAGTTATTGAATGAAGATTATATTTTTTGCAGGACAAAATCAACTTTTTGTGATATAGTCTGTTGTTTTGTGGTGGTAGTCCTCCATATTTCACATATCATGACAAAACTTCAAACTCAACACTATTTCGTCAGAAGTGTATGTATTGTGGAATCATAAGTCTCACATTGTTTAAACTGTACAGACAGTACAGACACTTAAGACATTTGGATAATTCTTCATATAGGGTTCTACTGTGAACAAAGTGAACATAAACACTAAAGCCTTGCTCCTCATTTGGTCATGATTCTTGCAACAACTCAAATCTGTACAGTCTGTACAACGCTCACGGCTTTTTCCACCATGGGACAGTGCTTTTATCTCTTCCTTCCCCCTCATTGGACAAATTACAAAGTCTAGTGAACATCTCTGTCTCATCGCCAGATGCTTATTTCCATGTGCTCTGTTCCCTACAGACTAAGCTGCTAGGTTATTTTCATGTTGCGTGGACTGCGTCCATAGGACCACGTCCCATGACTAGTGTTCTGCAGGGTTGGGGTTAATTCCATTTACAGTGGGGAAAAAAAGTATTTAGTCAGCCACCAATTGTGCAAGTTCTCCCACTTAAAAAGATGAGAGAGGCCTGTAATTTTCATCATAGGTACACGTCAACTATGACAGACAAATTGAGGAAAAAAAATCCAGAAAATCACATTGTAGGATTTTTAATGAATTTATTAGCAAATTATGGTGGAAAATAAGTATTTGGTCACCTACAAACAAGCAAGATTTCTGGCTCTCACAGACCTGTAACTTCTTGTTTAAGAGGCTCCTCTGTCCCCCACTCGTTACCTGTATTAATGGCACCTGTTTGAACTTGTTATAAGTATAAAAGACACCTGTCCACAACCTCAAACAGTCACACTCCAAACTCCACTATGGCCAAGACCAAAGAGCTGTCAAAGGACACCAGAAACAAAATTGTAGACCTGCACCAGGCTGGGAAGACTGAATCTGCAATAGGTAAGCAGCTTGGTTTGAAGAAATCAACTGTGGGAGCAATTATTAGGAAATGGAAGGCATACAAGACCACTGATAATCTCCCTCGATCTGGGGCTCCACGCAAGATCTCACCCTGTGGGGTCAAAATGATCACAAGAACGGTGAGCAAAAATCCCAGAACAACACGGGGGGACCTAGTGAATGTCCTGCAGAGAGCTGGGACCAAAGTAACAAAGCCTACCATCAGTAACACACTATGCCGCCAGGGACTCAAATCCTGCAGTGCAAGACGTGTCCCCCTGCTTAAGCCAGTACATGTCCAGGCCCGTCTGAAGTTTGCTAGAGTGCATTTGGATGATCCAGAAGAGGATTGGGAGAATGTCATATGGTCAGATGAAACCAAAATAGAACTTTTTGGTAAAAACTCAACTTGTCGTGTTTGGAGGACAAAGAATGCTGAGTTGCATCCAAAGAACACCATACCTACTGTGGAGCATGGGGGTGGAAACATCATGCTTTGGGGCTGTTTTTCTGCAAAGGGACCAGGACCACTGATCCGTGTAAAGGAAAGAATGAATGGGGCCATGTATCGTGAGATTTTGAGTGAAAACCTCCTTCCATCAGCAAGGGCATTGAAGATGAAACGTGGCTGGGTCTTTCAGCATGACAATGATCCCAAACACACCGCCCGGGCAACGAAGGAGTGGCTTCGTAAGAAGCATTTCAAGGTCCTGGAGTGGCCTAGCCAGTCTCCAGATCTCAATCTTTGGAGGGAGTTGAAAGTCTGTGTTGCCCAGCGACAGCCCCAAAACATCACTGCTCTAGAGGAGATCTGCATGGAGGAATGGGCCAAAATACCAGCAACAGTGTGTGAAAACCTTGTGAAGACTTACAGAAAACGTTTGACCTGTGTCATTGCCAACAAAGGGTATATAACAAAGTATTGAGAAACTTTTGTTATTGACCAAATACTTATTTTCCACCATAATTTGCAAATAAATTCATTAAAAATCCTACAATGTGATTTTCTGGATTTTTTATCCTAATTTTGTCTGTCATAATTGACGTGTACCTATGATGAAAATTACAGGCGTCTCTCATCTTTTTAAGTGGGAGAACTTGCACAATTGGTGGCTGACTAAATACTTTTTTTCCCCACTGTAAATTCCAGTCAATTCAGGAAGTACACTGAAATTCCAATTCTCTTCAATGATTTTCAATTAGGAAAATGTGGAATTGGAATTTGGTTTACTTTTTGAATTGACTGGAATTTTAATGGAATTGACCCCAACCCTAGATTAGCCTTGGGTTCACCAAGCTTCACCCCAGAAAAGTGGACACCAGTATAGGGGTGGGGAGATTTGGGGATTTTGAGGACAGTGTATTTTTTTCTACTGGCTATATATTCAAGTGTCCAAATCAAAGCCAAGTAATGACTTCCAAATAAACAAAAATACACTTGCTGTGATTTTGATTAAGCATAGCTGTGCGTGTCAAATGGCACCCTTTCCCCTATATAGTGCACTAAAGTAGTGCACTATATAGGGGAAAGGGTGCCATTTGATACGCATCAAAGGTTGAATGCATCAACAAATACAGGATGGATACAGGAGTCACAATACTGTAAGTGTTCATTGTGGTTCTCTCTGGGTGCTCCATCAGTCTTTAATTCTCATCTTTGTTATCTATACATTTCTCTGTACAGTTGAGGAGTTCCTTCAACAAGGCATTCAGTAAGAAGGGTTCCAAGCTCTCTGCGTCGTACGCTGACATCGAGGAGATCGCCACTCCAGACTCCTCTGCACCCTCCTCTCCTAAAATCCCCAACCACCACGTGGACAGGGATGGGGAGGGAGATGGAAATGGAGACAACCCTCCCTCTATGATGAGGTCCTCTGTCTCTGCATCATCCTCTGGGTAAGGTCAATTCACACAACCTGATCACCTTTGCTGCACCTCCAGTCTGAATTATGTTTTGCTTCCAAATGGCATGTATGAATGTCATGTAACATTATCTATATTTTATTTATCTCTCTTATTCATCTCTATCATACAGTTCAATGGAAGAGGGGGTACCTGCCACCTCTGTTCAGTCTTAGCAACGTGTGTTCTTCTCTTCTTCTCCAGACTGTGTGAAGGAGGCGAGGAGCCCCCGGAGGATGAGAAGGTGGTGACCACGCTGCGCTCGGCCCTCTGGGAGAAGGAGAGGAAGCTGACGGACATCCGCCTGGAGGCCCTTAGCTCCGCCCACCAGCTGGAACAGCTGCAGGAGGCCATGACCAACATGCAGGTGTGTGTGTGTGTGTTAGAGTCCTGCATCGGGTCGGAAACCCACGGTTCGGCTCGCGGTTCAGAACTATATTGCGTCGAAAACATTTTAAATCAAGATAAAATATTTTTTACAAACCCAGGAACATGTTGTGTTGCAAATTCCATTCTGTGAGAGGTGAAGCAGACGTATAGGCTACCAGCCACGCATGCAGTGGATCAAGGAACTTTCCAATATTTGTGTGGTGCGGAAATATATGTTCCATCCCCCTCACGCGAGAATACGTTGCTTGGCTAGCCTAGCTCACACGAAAATGGCTAAAGTAGGCCCAAACGGAGAAATAAAAAGAAAGGTTATGAAATACACCATCGTGGAAATGGGTGCTGCTCGATTGAAATTCCCGGTTTGGGTTGCAAAGAAAAAGCCATATATCAGACTGGCCAATAAAAAGAAAAGATTAAGATGGGCAAAAGAACACAGACATTGGACTTCTTTGCAACTCTGCCTAGAAGGTCAGCATCCCGGAGTCGCCTCTTCACTGTTGACGTTGAGACTGGTGTTTTGCGGGTACTATTTAATGAAGCTGCCAGTTGAGGACCTGTGAGGCGCCTGTTTCTCAAACTAGACACTAAGGTATTTATCCTCTTGCTCAGTTGTGCACCGGGGCCTCCCACTCCTCTTTCTATTCTGGTTAGAGACAGTTTGCGCTGTTCTGTGAAGGGAGTAGTACACAGCGTTTTACGAGATCTTCAGTTTCTTGGCAATTTCTCGCATGAAATGGCCTTCATTTCTCAGAACAAGAATAGACTGACGAGTTTCCGAAGAAAGTTATTTGTTTCTGGCCATTTTGAGCCTGTAATCGAACCAACAATTGCTGACGCTCCAGATACTCAACTAGTCTCAAGAAGGACAGTTTTATTGCTTCTTTAATCAGCACAACAGTTTTCAGCTGTGCTAATGATCAATTAGCCTTTTAAAATGATAAACTTGGATTAACAAACACTACGTGCCATTGGAACACAGGACTGATGGTTGCTGATAATGGGCTTCTGTACGCCTATGTAGATATTCCATTAACAATCGGCTGTTTCCAGCTACAATAGCCATTTACAACATTAACAATGTCTACACAGTATTTCTGATCGATTTTATGTTATTTTAATGGACAAAAAAATTGCTTTTCTTTCGAAAACAAGGACATTTCTAAGTGACCCCAATGTTTTGAATGGTAGTGTACAGTGGGGGAAAAAAGTATTTAGTCAGCCACCAATTGTGCAAGTTCTCCCACTTAAAAAGATGAGAGACGCCTGTAATTTTCATCATAGGTACACGTCAATTATGACAGACAAAATTAGGATAAAAAATCCAGAAAATCACATTGTAGGATTTTTAATGAATTTATTTGCAAATTATGGTGGAAAATAAGTATTTGGTCAATAACAAAAGTTTCTCAATACTTTGTTATATACCCTTTGTTGGCAATGACACAGGTCAAACGTTTTCTGTAAGTCTTCACAAGGTTTTCACACACTGTTGCTGGTATTTTGGCCCATTCCTCCATGCAGATCTCCTCTAGAGCAGTGATGTTTGGGGGCTGTCGCTGGGCAACACAGACTTTCAACTCACTCCAAAGATTTTCTATGGGGTTGAGATCTGGAGACTGGCTAGGCCACTCCAGGACCTTTAAATGCTTCTTACGAAGCCACACCTTCGTTGCCCGGGCGGTGTGTTTGGGATCATTGTCATGCTGAAAGACCCAGCCACGTTTCATCTTCAATGCCCTTGCTGATGGAAGGAGGTTTTCACTCAAAATCTCACGATACATGGCCCCATTCATTATTTCCTTTACACGGATCAGTCGTCCTGGTCCCTTTGCAGAAAAACAGCCCCAAAGCATGATGTTTCCACCCCCATGCTTCACAGTAGGTATGGTGTTCTTTGGATGCAACTCAGCATTCTTTGTCCTCCAAACACGACGAGTTGAGTTTTTACCAAAAAGTTCTATTTTGGTTTCATCTGACCATATGACATTCTCCCAATCCTCTTCTGGATCATCCAAATGCACTCTAGTAAACTTCAGACGGGCATGGACATGTACTGGCTTAAGCAGGGGGACACGTCTGGCACTGCAGTATTTGAGTCCCTGGCGGCGTAGTGTGTTACTGATGGTAGGCTTTGTTACTTTGGTCCCAGCTCTCTGCATGTCATTCACTAGGTCCCCCCGTGTGGTTCTGGGAGTTTTGCTCACCGTTCTTGTGATCATTTTGACCCCACGGGGTGAGATCTTGCGTGGAGCCCCAGATCGAGGGAGATTATCAGTGGTCTTGTCTGTCTTCCATTTCCTAATAATTGCTCCCACAGTTGATTTCTTCAAACCAAGCTGCTTACCTATTGTAGATTCAGTCTTCCCAGCCTCGTGCAGGTCTACAATTTTGTTTCTGGTGTCCTTTAATAATAATAAATAATAATATGCCATTTAGCAGACGCTTTTATCCAAAGCGACTTACAGTCATGCGTGCATACATTTTTGTGTATGGGTGGTCCCGGGGATCGAACCCACTACCTTGGCGTTACAAGCGCCGTGCTCTACCAGCTGAGCTACAGAGGACCACCTTTGACAGCTCTTTGGTCTTGGCCATAGTGGAGTTTGGAGTGTGACTGTTTGAGGTTGTGGACAGGTGTCTTTTATACTGATAACAAGTTTAAACAGGTGCCATTAATACAGGTAACGAGTGGAGGACAGAGGAGCCTCTTAAAGAAGAAGTTACAGGTCTGTGAGAGCCAGAAATCTTGCTTGTTTGTAGGTGACCAAATACTTATTTTCCACCATAATTTGCAAATAAATTCATTAAAAATCCTACAATGTGATTTTCTGGAATTTTTTTTCTCAATTTGTCTGTCATAGTTGACGTTTACCTATGATGAATATTACAGGCCTCTCTCATCTTTTTAAGTGGGAGAACTTGCACAATTGGTGGCTGACTAAAAACTTTTTTCCCCACTGTATATATATTGTTCTTAATTCATGGCATGGTCTCCTTTTATCTAAATGTTGAATAGACATGCAGACAAATGAATTAATGCAGGGATGGGAATAATAGCCTACTATTCTGGAGTCATAAAAACAATTCTATAAATTGATGTTATTCGGCGGGTCATGGATCGACTCTTAGTTGCGTAGAAAAATCTGTACTGATGTCGGATATCGGGTGGGGTTCGGAATTGATGTGGGGTGGGTGTGGCTCCAAAAAACGGACCCTTGCAGGACTCTAGTGTGTGTGTGTGTGTGTGTGTGTGCGAGGTGTGTGAGCATGCGTGCCTGCTTGCATGTTTGTGTATGTGTCTTTGTGTTACCCAATGATGTCTACTGTAATGTAGATATAGTTCATGGTTTGTGTAGTTTGGCCCTTGAACCTGATCCCATTAGGCCCCTATAGGATTCCCCTCATTAAGTAGCTATCACCTTAATGCTACACTGTGTGTTCCTGCCTGCAGATGACAGTGGAGAACCTGAAGGCAGAGAATGACCAGTTGAAGACAGGCGGTCCCTCCACCTCCACCTCCCAGTCTTCCGGCCTGGCATCACTGGGCACAGCCTCACCACGCCAATCTGTTGCCATGTCTCTGCCCAAGACCTTCGGCATGAGTCTGGGAGAGGGCAGCCCCTCTGGTGAGGCCTGGCATCAGTGACTAGAGGAACGCAGTCATCACTCAACAAGTCTAAGACTGAATGAACATCCATGAATCCATTTTTATTTTAAATCTGAAACTAGGGATAATTGTCATTAAGCATTTCAGCTAGATAACCCTCCTTAGTGTGCACTGTGAAAGGCTCATAACTCAGTGATGAATAAACATACAACTGTCAAACAGAACACAAGGACATTGTGTACCCACGTTTATGTTTGACATGTTAAAGTCATGACGTGCATGTAGGACACTCATTAGTTTATGCCTTGACCCAGTGTCTCTCCAGCTGACTACCACTCATACCATAATGTCTCTCTCGCTATCTCTCTCCCTTTCTCTCTCTGTCGAAACAGACGTGTTCCAGACAGACACCATTAGCCTCCCCTCTCATAGGGACGACACGCGTGTGAGAGTGGTGGTTCGCATGGCCAATCTGCGCGTCTTCAAAGATGTGAGTCTATTTATACGATTCATGATTATGTATGAGCCAGACTTGTTCAGTTCAGCTGGGCTCTACAATAACTATGATGGTAAACCTTCTAACCTCTCAACTGCTGCTGTCCTCGTTCAACAGGAGGTGAAACAGCAAGACTTTTTCATTGGTACTGTGAGGGTTAATGGTAGAATGGACTGGCCTATGCTGGACTCGGCTGTTGGCCAGGCTTTTAAGGTGAGTCTCAACAGGCACCTCAAATGTGAAAAAACATGTTCTACATTCAAAAGTGGATATATTGTTGATGCAAACGTAGCCTAAAAATTCAATTTGTATAAACTTAAATGACAAGGTAGGGTGTAAGGTTCTGTGTAGGGTTATAATGTCAACAAACAGAAGACATAAATACAGGAGCACTTTTCTTCTCAATTTGGACATGGTTTTGGCTAGAGCTTAATCTGTATCTGTAAATTCTCAGTCTGCTTTTCCCCAACACAACTAATGTTCCCCTCATCTCCTCTCCCCTGTCTCCTCTCCCCTGTCTCCTCTCCCCTGTCTTCTCCCATGTCTCCTTTTCCCTGTCTCCTCGCCTCCCCCCTTCTCTCCTCCCCCAGGTGTACATAGCCAAGGTGGACCCCACCTCTAGCCTGGGCCTTACTACAGACTCTATCTACAGCTACAGTATGAACCACATCAGGAGGGTGCTGGGAGGGGAGCTGCCAGAGAGCCATCCCTCACGCTGTGTCTCCAAGGGGCCCAGCGGCATCACTGTAACACTCAAAGGTCAGTACCTGACTAGGATCATAATGGTACAGTTGTGAATAATGGTCATTTTCTGGAAATATACCATTATTTAAGCTACAATCTGCAGTTTAATTTCTGATGAAGAACAATATTGCTCTGAGAGAGAGGGTATTTGTTAATGTACTATTAACTGATTATCACAGTAAGATTGTTTTTTTGTGTGTAATTTCTTTGAGCATCGATTGTAAAGGACAGCTTGTGTCTAGCTTGTGTTATATCTATTTGGGGTCAGCAAACAGTCAATGGACTTAATGTTCACACCAAAGGTCATTGCAGCACTTGTTTTGGCTTTGAGACCGTGTATGTTTGGAATTTCTGTCCACTCTCTTCAGATCTCCTGTTCCACACTGAACAATGTTTAAAGGAATGTTTTATTAAGATATATCATGATTTATGACCCATGCTGCGTACGTTAACCAGATATTTGGACTCCTTGTTATGTTCCATACTAAGATGTGATGTTGAATATCAAGTAGGATGGATGATTGGCTGTGAAGCCAATCATCCAATCATTAAATTCTAGTCAATTCCATTTCAATTCCAGTCAATTCTGGAAGTACACTGAAATTCAAATTCTGTTCAATGGTTTACTTTCTGAATTGACTGGAATTTAAATGGAATTGACACAAACCCTGCTCTGTAGTCACATAAGTCCTTCTGTTTGTCTCGTTATAATTATCTCCCCCCTGTCTCTGACCTCTCTCTGACCACTGGCACCCAGTAGCGGAGAGCTGAGTCTGGGTCTGGCTAAGATTTGTGGTGTCTACAATGCCTTCAGAAAGTATTCATACCCCTTGACTTATTCCACATTTTGTTGCTTTACAGCCTGAATTCAAAATTGATTAAATAAAAAAATGTCTCACCCATCAACACACAATACCCCATAATGACAAATTCAAAACATGTTTTGAGATTTATTGAAAATGAAATACAGAATAATATTTTTTATACAAAACATCCACATACAAATGACAACATACAGACGCATCCAAACATCCACAACATCACCCCTGCCCAGACCCACCTGCTCACACCCCTATCTCCAGCGCCCGCATCACTCTCCGCCACATGGCCTCAAACTGCAGCATTTTGTTACTCTCTGTTGCCCATGCAATTTAGATAATAAAGCATTTGACCTTCTCATTGTGTTAACGATTAAGTATTGGTTGATTTCCAGTTTTTAAGTATACGTTTTTTCAAGATGATTGACAAGAAAAGTATCGTCCAACCCATCGGGTATCTCACAACACCCCATTATGCCATGTCTTGAAATATGCAGACAGATGGGTTAAAAGTACATTTACATTGTATTGTAATACTTCTGACAGACAACTTTCGAACTTTACCCTTAACTTTTACACTTCATTAATACTTTCTGAAGGCACTATACCGCATCCTACTTGCTATAATTCTGAAGGATTATAAAAATTAAAAGAGTTTGGAGAATCTTCATCCGTTGTCCAACTGTTGCAATCATTCAAATTGTTAAAAAATCATAATAACTATTTCGATGACCGTTGCTACTGGCACCCTGTAGCAGAGAGGTGAGACTGGGCCAAGCTGAGACTGATTTATGGTGTCAGAGGAAAACATATGTTCAGACAGGCCATTAGCAGATTAGCTTTTTTGGACCGATGTAGTTTTTTTTAGAGCACATTTCCCTAGAACAGTAGTGTACATAGATCCATTTCAGGGTAATCCATATCAGTTAGACCCCATTTGTGATTTTTAAAGCAATGGAGAGGTGTAGGCTGGGTAGGCTGTCTGTTCCACCTGGCTAAGCAGGAATGCAGTAGGGCAGGGTGGGAAAGAAGCAGGGGAGTGCAGTCGGGGTTCAGAGAAACATGATCCCGCTGCAGCTTGTGTGTCAGGCAGCTCAGGCAGTCCGACCCAGCTGGCCCAGGCAACACACACACACAATACACAAACCCTATAAATGTGGGTGGTGATATTTCACACTGTAGGGTGGGGGCATGGAGGAGGTAGGGGGGAGAAGGCATGGAGAGGAAAGAGGACGAGCACAGACTCCTTGCTCTTGATCTGGGAGTTATTTACAGAACATTCTTTCTGCACTCCAAGTTGTTTATAAAAGGAGACGTGATGCAGGAAATCGTTAAGCAGAACATTTTCATGTACATGGATGGACTCCCTGGTTTAACTACAAAAATAACTCTGGTTTAGTGCATTCTCTCAATGTTAGGAAAAATGGATTGATAGTTTTAGTGCTTCTCTTCATGTACAGTATGTCTCTGTGAGCAGCTGAATGGAGGGCTGTTTGGAATTCCCTACACCCAACCAATCGTTGTACCTCACCTGTCTATGTGTTGTGTCAAATACATTTTAATTTTAAGTGTTTACACATATAATTCCGGGCCAAGATGGCAGATTTCTGTCCATTCTAGTGTTATATTTAATTATGGGTGTTTACCCTGAACAGACAATAAAGCTTTAGAACATTAAACGTTTGAACTTTGACCTCTGCGTCCTTCAGGTCTGAAGGAGAAGTTTGTGGACAGCATGGTGTTTGAGACCCTCATCCCCAAGCCCATGACCCAGCACTACATCAGCCTGCTGCTCAAGCACCGCCGCCTCATCATGTCTGGGCCCAGTGGCACCGGCAAGACCTACCTCACCTCCCGCCTGGCAGAGTATCTGGTGGACCGCAGCGGTCGAGACCTCAACGACGGCATTGTGGTCACCTTCAACATGCACCGCCAGTCTTGCAAGGTGGGTACAGGACATTGTGTGCCATACGGTAACAGGGTTCCTTGCTCCTAGTTCTGGATAGGAGCTACACGCTGAGCAGCTAATTATTAAAGGCCCAGTGTAGTCAAAAACATGATTTTCCTGTGTTTTAAATATATTTCCACCCTATGAGGTTGGAATAATATTGTGAAAATGATGATAATGCCCTTTTAGTGTAAGAGCTGTTTGAAAAGAGGTTAATAGACCAATAATAAAGATATTTCCAAACCTCTCTGCCAATCAATACATCAAATGTATTCATAAAGCCCTTTTTACATCAGCAGATGACACAAAGTGCTTATACAGAAACCCAGCCTACGCTGCTGCTACTCTGTTAATTATTTATGCATAGTCACTTTAACTCTACCCACATGTACATATTACCTCAACTACCTCAACTAGCCGGTGCCCCCGCACATTGACTCTGCAACGGTACCCCCCTGTATATATAGCCTCCCTACTGTCACTTTATTTTACTTCTGCTCTTTTTTCTCTAAACACTTTTTTTGTTGTTGTTTTATTTTTACTTTTTTTGTAAAAAATAAATGCACTGTTGGTTAAGGGCTGTAAGTAAGCATTTCACTGTAATGTCTGCACCTGTTGTATTCGGCGCATGTGACCAATACAATTTGATTTGATTTGATTTGAAACCCCAAAGAGCATGCAATTTGGTATTTTATTAGGATCCCCATTAGCTGTTGCGAAAGCAGCAGCCACTCTTCCTCGGGTCCAAACAAAGCATGAAACTTGACATAATACTGAACATTAATAGACAAGAACAGCTCAAGGACAGAACTACATCAATTTAAAAATGGCACACGTAACCTACATATCAATACATACACACAATATCTAGGTCAAATAGGGGAAAGGCGTTGTGCCGTGAGGTGTTGCTTTATGTTTTTTTTAAACCAGGTTTGCTGTTCATTTGAGCAATATGAGATGGAAGGGAGTTCCATGCAATAATGGCTCTTGAATTTGTTCTGGATTTGGGGACTGTGAAAAGACCCCTGGTGGCACGTCTGGTGGGTTAAGTGTGTGTGTCAGAGCTGTGCAGATGTAGAAGCTCGGTGACTAGGAGAAACTTCCTTGGAAGGCAGGAACCTAGGAAGAAACCTAGAAGGGAACCAGGCTCTGAGGGGTGGCCAGTCTTCTTCTGGCTGCACCCAGTGGAGATTATATCTAATCGAATAGATTCCACAGATTGCTAGTTGAAGATAAATACTTTTACTAAGCGTATTAGTATATTAGTGATTGACTGACCAGCTCTCTCCAGATCTCCCAACAATGTTATTTCTAGGGTCAATTTTAGATTAATGTTATGCTGAGACCAGGAACAGACTACCTGAGGGCAATACCAGAACAAATGGTCTATTGATTCTGTATCCTCACAACAAAATATGCAGAGCTGAAATATGTTTTATATGTTCATCAAAAGAGAGATCAGGGTCTAGAGTAATGCTGATGTCCTTCAGTTTTATTTTCAGTTTTCCCCTTACCACTCAGACCACTCCCAGACAGTCCTAGCAAAATTCTTGCTTGAGAAATTGCTCTTTGCTAACAAGCTTTTTTGTTTCTTTTTGACGATTTTAATTGAAAACAATCACAGCAAGGTACTTAATTGTTACCCAGAAATGATTTCATATTAAGTAAAAAAAACTGCTGCATTGGCCCTTTAACTAAACATGTACCTCTAATCATCAGGTTTGTCAGTGGTGGGCTGGCAGAAAAGCCTGTACACCTTACAGCTCAGTACCAAGAGAAAGCAGTCATCTGGTTTCGGTTTGTGATTTAATATCACCATACATCAATAACATGACCTCTCTCAACAGGATCTCCAGCTCTACCTGTCCAACCTGGCCAATCAGATTGACCGGGAAACCAGCACTGCTGAAATTCCATTGGTGGTTATCCTGGATGATATACATGATGCCACTTCCATCAGTGAGCTTGTCAACGGGGCCCTCACCTGCAAATACCACAAATGGTGAGTAGACTAACACTGAAATGGAACCTTTTATCAAACATCTATTAGAGACATTAGTACATTATTGTTTCTAATCTTAACTGTGATGATTCTGTGTTTATTTCAGTCCTTACATCATTGGAACTACCAACCAGCCGGTGAAGATGACCCCAAACCATGGCTTGCACCTCAGCTTCAGGTGAGTGAAGAGACAAATCGAGTTGTTTGTGTTTTTTTGTGTGTGAAGGCTTTTGTTCTGACCTAGTCTTAAAACATCTTATTTAAGGCTACAGTATATCCCTGTCATGCATCTACAGTACGCTTTGATGCGTATTTAAATTGGGATGTTGTCAGTCTAATAAATAGGGACAGTGCCTTCAACGTATTCATACCCCTTGACTTATTGCACATTTTGTGTTACAGCCTGAATTCAAAATTTATTAAATATATTTTTTTCTCTCACCGATCTACACACTACCCAGTAATGACAAAGTGAAACATGTTTTTAGAAATGTTTGCATTGGCATTGAAAATGAAATACAAAAATATCTAATTTACATACGTTTTCACACCCCTGAGTCAATACATGTTAGAATCACCTTTGGCAGTGATTACAGCTGTGATTCTTTCTGAGTAAGTCTCTAAGAGCTTTACACACCTGGATTGTACAATATTTGCACATTCTTAAAAAAATTATTCAAGGTTGTTTATCATTGCTAGACAGCCATTTTCAAATCTTGCCATAGATTTTCGAGCGATTTTATGTCAAAAAACTGTAAATAGGCCACTCAGGAACATTCAATGTCGTCTTGGTAAGCAACTCCAGTATATATTTGGCCTTGTGTTTTAGGTTAAGGTCCTGTTGAAAGGTGAATTTGTTTCCCAATGTCTGTTGGAAAGCAGACTGAACCCAGTTTTCCTCCAGGATTTTGCCTGTGCTTAGTTCTATTCCATTTCTTTTTATCCTAAAAAAAAACTCCCTAGTCCTTGCAGCCACCACCATACTTGAACATTTGAAGAGTGGTACTCAGTGATTTGTTGTTTTGGATTTGCCCCAAACATAACTTTGTATTCAGGACATAGTTGTTTTTAGCAGTTTTACTTTAGTATGGAAGGTGTTATTCTGTACAAGCTTCCTTCTTTTCACTCTGTCATTTAGGTTAGTATTGTGGAGTAACTACAATGTTGTTGATCCATCCTCAGTTTTCTCCTATCACAGCCATTAAACTCTAACTGTTTTAAAGTCACCATTGGCCTCATGGTGAAATCCCTGAGCAGTTTCCTTCCTCTCCGGCATTTAATCCATTTTAAATTCAGGCAGTGACACAACAAAATGTGGAAAAAGTAAAGGGGTGTGAATACTTTCTGAAGGCACTGTATATAGTAGATAGTACTTTATGATATATACAGCATGACCTGACCTTTGACCCTCTCCTGACCCCAAGGATGGTGACCTTCTCCAATAATGTGGAGCCAGCCAATGGCTTCCTGGTGCGTTACCTGCACAGGAAGTTGATGGAGGCGGAGGACGAGAGGAGCCTGGCCAACGAGGACCTCCTCAGGGTGCTGGACTGGGTGCCCAAGCTGTGGTACCACCTGCACACCTTCCTGGAGAAACACAGCACCTCGGACTTCCTCATCGGTAGGAAAACATTCTGTTAGAAGCGGGAAATAATACAGGAATATAAAGTTAGGTCACACTTTCATTGGATAGTCCCCAATGGATGATCTACAGATCTAAATCTACATACTATCCAAATAAAGCGATACCTAAAGTTAGTTAGTTATTGGAGATCTGATTCTTGTCTATGGCCACAGACTGTGTGTTTGATTGATGTGGTCATTGAAAGATCTTTCATATTATTTATTCTTTCTTTTTTTCTCTCTCTCTCCTCTCTTTCTCTGTCTCCCCTCCCTCTCTCTCTCTCTTGCTCTCTTCTCTCTCCCTCTCTCTAGGTCCGTGTTTCTTCCTGTCCTGTCCTGTGACTGTGGAGGAGTTCCGCTCCTGGTTCATTGACCTGTGGAACCTCTCCATTATCCCCTACCTGCAGGAAGGAGCCAAGGATGGCATTAAGGTCAGACAGGTTTTACTATCTTGGTAGATGAATTAAAGCCTGGTCCCAGATCTTTTTGTGCTCTATTGCCAACTTTATTGTCATTGTCACGTCAAACGTTTGGCGTGACGGCACAACCAGATCTGGGACCAGGCTAGGTGAATTGCAGGGAAAATAAATGGATGGAGCGAGCATCTTTCAAGGAATAACACTCACACTTTTCTTTTCCTACTAGCACTGACTTTGCTGATAAGTACCTTATTGAGGAAAAATGTACTGTACTTACTATGACTGTGATTTGTAGTTGTCTCACCTAGCTATCGCACTAACTGTAAGTCACTCTGTATAAGAGCGTCTGCTAAATGACTAAAATGTTAAATGTGCTCGGAGTATGACGTGTTGTGGCTTTGTGCCACAGGTGCATGGTCAGAAGGCGGTGTGGGAGGACCCAGTGGAGTGGGTGAGGGGCACCCTGCCCTGGCCCTCAGCCCAACAGGACCAGGCCAAGCTGTTCCACCTGCCTCCCCCCAGCATGACCTCTGGAGGCCCAGGCCAGCCCAGCGAGGCCTCAGCCAGGCCTCTTAATAAGGAGACCCCACCCAGCTCCATGGACACCCTGGATCCTCTGGTAAGACACTCGTCTTCCCATATTTGTACCATGGGGGTATGCAACTGTGGTCCTGGAGGTCCCACAGTGTGTGTAGGATGTTGTTGTGGTCCAGCAACGATACACCTGATTCACCTAATAATAGTCCAATCTGAACAATGTGATTTATTGATTAGTTGAATCAGGTGTGTATAGCACGAGCTGGGCTGGTGCAAAAGCCTGAAACACACTGTGGTACCTGTTTCCCAACCCTGCTGTAAGTCCTTCTCTGGCCTCGTCTGTATCTCAATTATATTACTGTATGTCCTTGGAAGGTATCGTTGTCACAATACTGTGCATTATATAGAGTTAATTTGAAATGCTTCACCTTTTCTGACCCTTTCCCCCTCTGTCTGTTGTTCCAGATGGCTATGTTGTTGAAGTTGCAAGAGGCAGCCAACTACATTGAATCTCCGGACAGAGATACAATGGACCCCAGCCTCCCTACATTTTGAACAACTTAAACTCTAGACTCAAAACCTAGCACTTCAAATAGCCCTAAATATTTATCCCTATGTGAGCTCTAGTATACACAGTTTATAACATTCAGGAACAAAAACTCCAACATTGTTTTCTGCTCCTTTTGGACCTTATCTTTAATCTCAGCAAACAACAATCACACTCCATATGGTTGAATGAGAAGCCATTTGTTTTGTTGTTTTTGAATTGTATTCAATCATGCCAAGTCATACCAACCGATATTATGGTGAGAGAAAATATTTAGATTTTCTATTTCTTCAGATTTTCTTGAACTAGAGGTTATATTCACAATACACAGTATAAAGTCTCTCTTTATAGAAGCCTTCTCTCTATCACTGCTGCCCTCGATAGAAACAGGTGCTAATTATCTAGATAATAAGTATTACTCTTACTTTAGAAATTAATCCTCATCTCTCATTGGTCTAAGCAGGTGATTCTTCCAACAGCAAATTTAAATGACAAAAAAGCACATTCTTGCTTGTCCACATTTGCTCAAAATGGCCTGCAGTGTGCCTGTAAAATCAAGTCAGTTTGAGACCCATTTTAGCTTATTGGAAAGAGTACGACGGCATGTTGTATGGCTTGTCAGGTTGTATAGTCCTGGTTCTGAATACATATCGATCAATCTTTGAAGGCCAAATCTTAGACATATGCAACTCTTATACATAACCAGGTGAAATTGTTTGACTCTGTGACCAAACATACTGAATGCCTTAATAAATCTATGACTTATGATAACCTCAAGATGAACAGCAGTATACAACAGTGGTGCTTTGCTTTATAACCATCGCCTCAGAGCAGAGTAGTGCCAGGACATTGACTTTTTGCCCCCTCACATAGTTCAGGGTAGAGTCCTGCACAGGTCAGTTTTTTTGGAGCCGCACCACCCCGCCCAAATTATTTCTGAGCCCCACCCGATATCCGACATCAGGACAGACTTTTCTCTGCATAGAGAGCCGATCCGTGAACCGGCAAAATAATATCAATTTATTGTTTTTATGACTCCAGAGTATTAGGCTATTCCCATTCCCTGGATTCATTAATTTGTCTGCATGTCTATTCACATTTGGATCAAAGGAAACCATGGCATGAATTAAGAACGATAGGCCTATCTTCTGATTTTCACCTTGCGATGCGGCACATTGACAACTCAGATCGCTTTGAATAAGATCCTTTTAATTAGACTTCTTCTTACTTAACGAAAGCCTATAGCTGACATAACAAAACAATACATTTACATTCAAACTTAAGTAAACATTTCCTATAATCGAATAAGCTATAGGCTGCAAAAATAGCCTACATTCATTTAGTAGGCTATTGGCTACTCAAACTTTTACCAGTCTCACAGGTTTAAACTTTATAAGGCCTGCATATGGTCTAAATGAATGAAAGCCTGAATTGATGTAATAATAAACTTATATTAACTGAATTAACGCAAACAAATACCTGCTTGCACTTTTGCAGGCTGTATCCATACCGGGTTGTTGTCCTCCTTGTCCACAATGACTCCAAATCCTTCCAAACCGGGGATTTCACTCACGCAGCACCTGTTTCCATGATGGTGTATTCCACCATCATAACCTTTGATAAGAATGTTTTCATTCCACCCTCCAGCTGATTTTTTTTGCAGGTCAACTGCCGGGAACCGTGGGTATCCGATCCGATGCAGGACTCTAGTTCAGGATTGATTTCAATGTCACTTAACTATATTTGAGGGATAAACAACATGTTTCAGGTAGGCTAGATGGTGGGGATCAGGGTTTCATGGTCAAGTGAGAAAACAGGATTTAACAGAGCAGAACACAGACACATGGTTATTTCCTTATGGTTAATATCTTTAATTATCATTCATTGCAGCTACAACTTAGCAAAATTACAAATGCTGTCACTCTTTAACCAAAACATTTAAAGATGTCATCAGTACATACTAACTTCAGCTTCTGTGGTACTAGTTCCTCATTTTGTTGCAGGCAGCATACTTTTTATTTATTTGACTGAACTGACATAGACCGATTTGAAATCCAACTATCTGTTTGAAGATATAAAGGCCATGCCAGTAATACTCACATATAAAATCAGGTATTACTAAGAAAGTTATTTTTTGGAATAACGCTTAAGCAACTAACATTTGCTTATAGCTTAGATATTGCTTGACTTTTATTTTGAATATGGTGAGGTCTAATCTATTCCACAACATTATTCAGTATAGTTACTGTGCTCAATGCTGTATTTCCAATATCGATTTCAGTTATTTGATCTACACTAGTTGCATGGTGCTAATATCTGATATGCTGAACCAAATACTTTACTGTAATCTTGCATATTGACAGTAGTTAGAGTATAAAAGTGCTTAAAAGAATGTACATGTAGATCTTTTACTCAATGTGGTAGCCATATAGCATCGCAGATCATTTAGGTGCTTTTGAATTTAGCCTTTTCACAAAGCTACTGTCTCATTCCTTGTAGAAAACATGTATTTAGGCCTATACCAAGACAGGTGAGTGAACATCATGATTTAGAGTTCTCTGTTGCACCCCATAAATCATTTTCATCAGACACAGGTTAACTCTGCTATTAACAGTCTTACATCTATTGTAGCAACCAATGGTGCTCTCCCTTTTTTGACTGGTAATATTGCTTTGCTCATCTTTGGTTTAGGTAATGACGGTTTGGACACACAGCATAAAATAGAAGAAATAGTTATTTGCTCACAGTAATGATCAAGGACCATTTCCCACTTCAGAGGCATAGATATAGAATGGTAGAAGTTGAGTGGGTTACAGTAGTGTTCTCAAAAGATACATCTGACCATACTGGCTGATGCTGAAATAATGTAGGAGAATCAGTCTGTGTTTTGGTCTCTTCACACTAATGATGTATAATCCCTTTATCATAAGTCACCTGTATATAAACTGTAATTTAATGTCAGATCCCTTTCTTTGTACAATGGTTATCATAACAGAAATAAATGTTGCACACTATCAAAGGTCATTATTAAGCAAAGTGCAACTAAACCACCGTGATGAAGTTAAAACATGGTACATTCCTTTTGTACTTATTTTTTTGTATGCTTTTGCATCAAACTGTTAATGACTCCATCTGATGACTTGAAGCGAATGGCTTTTACTGCCTTGTGTGGTCACATTTTTACAAATTGAAAGAATCCTTGATAAATCCTATGTGTGAAAAGATGCCCCTTTGGCCAATTCATTTCACAATGACACCATGGCTGCGTTTACACAGGCAGCGCAATTCTGATCTTTTGCCCAATTATTGTAGAAAGAGTTGATTGGATTGGTCAAAAGACCAATAAGTGGAAAAAGATCAGAGTTGGGCTGCCTGTGTAAACTCAGCCTACTAGACCCCCCATGAACCTTCTGTCATCTTAATGATTAGCCTCATTAACTACTCTGCATTGTTTTACTATTTAGAAGAGTATAAGAGTATAGTATACACTGTATCTATGTATGCAAGTAAACAAATGCCATTCTGCTTGTTCTTCATCTCATTCACTGGTCGTTGTGGCTGTTGCGCTGTAGTGGCTGTGCTGTGTGTTTGCTAACCATCTTCTGTATCAGGACTATGCAGCAACTTCTACTGGTGTTGGCAATTAGAAAAAACGTCAACAATTATTCTGAAAGCTAACAAACCCAGTCTTGCCCCAGTCTTGCAGTAAATTGGACCAAATGAGGATTATGTTACTGAGAAAGAGTTCATTTTACAGGCAGGGTTGACTATGCCTTAATGTGAATTTTGATGCAAGTGTTGCATTGAGAGAGTGAGTGGGACCATTGACAATGGAAGGGATGCTTTGTGTGAAGGTTATTAGAATGTGTAAAAAGAAACTTGGTCCCACAAGACACCACCTGACTGTGAATGGGTGGTAAAACCTGGGCTTTAGCTCAGTGGGATAACATACCCTTGTGGCACACAGGAGACCCAGGTTTAGAACTCAGGTCAGTCACATGAGGGAAATGAGGTGTAGGTTATAGAGTTTGTTGTCCAAAGGTTTAGGCCTGTATTGCAGTTGGGCACAATTTAACTATTATCTAAGAACATAGTTCGACATAAAAGCTTGATTTTCAAAAAATCTAAGATAAATCAATGTTTTCTATATCAGGGTCTTCAAAAATACTAAACAAATCTGAAGTTCTTGGAAATGAAGTATTTCCCACTTGATTAAATCCAATACAGGTTGCTGAATAGTCATAATTATTTTGCAAAGCTTGTTATTGACTCAAAATAAAAATATAAAAACTGTAATAATGATATCTAATGTCACTGACAGGCAAATGTGATGGATTTTTAAATGTTGTAAATGCATGCCAAATTAGTGTGTGAACAAAACATGTAATAGCATTAACGTATTGTTAGGGGTTCATTCTATATAGAAAATGCTTTTTCTTTTTAATATGCTGATATTTGATATTTCTTTTTCTAAGGAATCCTTTGTAAAATTTCATTTATCTATTTTGTACAGGACTTCACAATTGTAAACATTGTAAATAGTTACGCATACTGTACGCGACAACAATCATTAAGGAAAACAAATAACTCCATAAAGGCCTACTACAAGATTAATAACTTATCACTCCAGAGTTGAGCCCAATACGTGGAGAGGTAGGCATGCTTCTGAAATGACATTATCATCCACCTACTGTTTGTTCCAGTCAATAAAATCATGTCATATATGATTTGTCTCATAATTGCGAAAATATTTTTACCTCCATTCCTATAAAATAATGAATTCAAATTTGCAATGAAAGAGCACTTAAGATCTTCAAGAGCAGTCAGTGTGCATTTGGGTTGTGGCCTAACCATCATATCAGTGTTTATAAGGGTGATTTATCAGAACAAACACATCAGTGAACTGGAAACTGAGTGAAACAGAGGGTAAACCCCCTCATTTTGGCCCGAGGGCCGCATTCGTTCTTCAACGAGGTCCGGAGTGCCACACTGAAAATGTGTTATATTTCCTCGCTGTCAAAATTTGGGAAAAATAGACCTCTATTGTTTTTTGGAATATATGATGCTCCTTGACTGTCTAGCTTTAATTTCAGTGATTATTAGCTAGCTGGACACAGTCAAGAAACCATGGATGTAGGTCCATTATCAGTTCTACATAGTTTCGATTTGGTTTTAGTCATTTTAGTATATTGAGTTCCCCTTACGGGCCTAATCGTCCATATGTTTGACATCCCTGGTATAGGGGATCCCTATTCCTACTAGTGTTAGTGCTATTCGGTATCCTTGGGATGTCCATACCCTAAACCCTAACCTTAACCATTTTACATTTTAACTTCAGTGGGGTAACGAAAGTGTTGGGATGTCCCTACTAGGTCTATAATAAGGTCCAAGATTCAGTCAAGTATCTGTTACAGAAAATTCCTTAGGGGGTGGAGTCTGTGACCACCGTCTATATAGCCTGCCACTCCCTCTAAAGTGATGACTCTTTGAGGACTTTGAGGACTTACTGACTTTGGGAGTAGCAGAAACCGCCACCATGCCTGCGAAGCCTGCCCCTATCAAGAAGGCAGCCCCGAAAGAGCCTGCTCCTAAGAAGGAGGAAGCACATGCCCCTGCACCCGCTGAGGCTGATCCTGCTGAAGTTGCTCCCCCTGCCGAGGTCGAAGCTCCACCGGCAGAGGCTGCCCCAGCCGAAGCAGCTGCCCCTGCCGAGGGAGAGGCCCCTGTGGAGGCAGCTCCCGCAGAACCCGCGCCTGAGGAGCCCAAAGCACCCACACCCCCTCCTGCAGATGGTAATGCAATAATGCTCCATGAAATGAGCTTCGGTTGGGCTTTTTGCAGAAACACATGTGGGCTACTTTGTCAATTATATCATTGATATCCTCTCTGAATGGATGAGCCATGGTGACGTTTGGTTGGTGCGCAAGGGGCATAACTGACATTTTCATAAGTTCACAGGAGTGCTAAAACAAAACGTTGACATTGTTTGTTAATGGGAATTTATACTTTACCCAATACTTCAATGGAGGTCATGGATCTTATGTCGGTCCCTTTGCCACTGGATCTCTTCAAGAGCCTTCTATAAATTGCTTTACCATTTTTAGTCCAAAATGTCACTAATGCCCGTTGCGCACCGCCAAACCCTGCAAAAATATTCCTTCTCAATGACATGTATTTCGAGAAAGTCTGTTCTTCCACATCATTTGGTAAATAATAAGCAACATTCGTCAACCATCGGTTCATAAGAGATAATGGTAAAGCTCTGAAGCCCATACTTTTGAGATAGGCCGGAAGACATTGCAGAAGTCATTGTGGGCTCCATGACGAAAAGCCTGCAACGTGTTGTGTAAGTGATTGGGGAATATCCCATGCCACTCCCCTTGCGCGCCCAATTTGTTTTGTGGTGGTGGAACTCAGTCAGTCTTTAAACTTGCTCTTGAAAGGCCCCACAGTTTGGGAACCACTGGTGTAAGGCACTTGATAGCCTGACTACCTAGTCAAGTATCGCAAATGCTCGATTAACTACATCATATCTGTTGCCTATAGGCTAGTAATCAAACTATACTGAACAAAAATAATATAAAACGCAACATGTAAATTGTTGGTCCCATGTTTCTTGAGCTGAAATAAAAGATCCCCCAAATTTTCCATATGCACAAAAAACGTATTTCTCTCAAATGTTGTGCACACATTTGTTTACATCCCTGTTAGTGAGCATTTCTCCTTTGCCAAGATAATCCATCCACCTGACAGGTGTGGCATATCAAGAAGCTGATTAAACAGCATGATCATTACACAGGCATACCTTGTGCTGGTGACAATAAAAGGCCACTCAAAAATTTGCAGTTTTGTCACAAAACATAATAATGCCACAGATGTCTTAAGTTTTGAGGGAGCATGCAATTGGCATGCTGACTGCAGGAATGTCCACCAGAGCTGTTGCCAGAGAATTGAATGTTAATTTCTCTACCATAAACCGCCTTCAACGTAGTTTTAGAGAATATGGCAGTACGCCCAACCAGCCTAACAACCGCAGACCACTTGTAACCACGCCAGCCCAGGATCTCCAGATCTGGCATCTTCACCTGCGGGATCGTCTGAGAACAGCCACCCGGACAGCTGATGAAAAAGCCCAGTCGTGAAATCCATAGATTAGGGCCTAATTAATTTATTTCAATTGATTTATTTCCTTATACGAACTGTAACTCAGTAAAATCGTTGTAATTGTTGCATGTTGCATCTATATTTTTGCTCAGTGTAATATCTAATCAAATGTAATACCAGCCGCTGCTAAGCCTGCTGCAGAGGAAGCTGCTACTCCAGCTGCTGCAGAGGTGCCCACAGAGCCAGATGGTAATGCATGTATTGCAATAGACAGATGTCAGAATTTACAGCGCATTTTAACTACATTATATCAGTTGCCGATAGGCTAGTAATCAAACTAATATCTAACATCTAATGCCAGCCGCTACTGTGCCCGCCGAGCTCGCTGCCGAAGGCAAGGAAGCTGCAGTTCTAGCCGCCGCAGACGCTGAGGCACCTGCCGAGGGTAAAGCCAAGAATAACAGATGTTTGTCTTGACTAGGCTGCTTAACCTCTTTTACTGTAACTTCTTTATCTCTTTACTCACGTCCCGGTACTTTCTATCCACATAAGCTTAACATTCTGCCACATTTTTTCATTTTGTAACATATTTTGAAATGTTTAAAATCAGCTTTTGCTCTTACATCTCTCTAACGTTGAATGAATATCAGCTGCCGCCCCTGCTGCAGAGGAAGGCACCCCCGCGGCTGATGCTGCTGCTGAGGGTGCGGCACACCCTGATGGTAATAGCCTCACTACCAATCCACAGGGAGCCAAGGGACTTCATCATCATATGCCACTTAATATGGATATTCCTGTTTAGAATTATGGCAAATCACTTTTGGCTAACAGCACTAACTCAATAGAGCTAAACGATCTCAAATGATATTTGGGCATTTTGCCCATCATGGTAGGTAGGGCCTTATTAGCATGGTCCCAGATCTGTTTGTGCTGTCTTTCTTGCCAACGCCTATGGTCATTATCATAGGAGTTGACAGATCTGGGACCAGGCTCTAATGTCATTTGAACTAATTCATTAGATGAATCTCTAACATTTAACACTAGCTGATGCTGCTGCAGCTGCCTCAATTATACCTTCAAATCTGAATATGTCCAATTCCAATCCACTCCAATATGGGATCATGATAAGGTATAGTTAGTTTGGTATACATATAAGGCATTCTAAAGTTTTTCCTGACCATGTGACCTGACCTGGGAACACTCCGGGCCCTAGTTAAAGCCTAGTGTACCTTAGCAGATTGAATAGGTGTAGACTGTTTTCATCTCTCTGCTGGATAAACAAAGAGGAGTTCCGTAAGAGATGGGATTGGAATGGATTGGATGGAAGTGATTCTAGAACACTGCTCTCATACCTGCTGCCTCTAACCTTTATATAAATGCACATTTAACATCAGCTGCTGCTGCCGATGCGGCCTCCATAGAGGAACCCCCCAAAGCACCTACCCTCCCTCCACCCCCACCCCCAAAAGGTAAACCAACTCAACGGTCTGAGGAAAGATTGGTCAAACCATTACGAAGCTTTTCACACATTCTCCTATTACCATTTTTATAATTTATATGATAACCCAATATCATGTCCTCAAGTTTCAAGTTGTACATTGTCTGCATTAGTTTGCATTTCTAAACTATGTAGAGCCCTATTACCATGTTTCCATTGATATGATAACACAATAAGGCTAATTATTTCCTCTTGCATCTCGAGTTGTACTTTGTCTGAATTGTGTTAGCATTTCCAAAATATTTAGAGCCGTATAACTTAGTTTTTTTATTGATACTGTGTAACCCAATAGGGCTAATGTGTCCTCTCACGTCCGAGTTGTACAATGCGTTGTCTGAATTGTGTTTGTGTTTCCCAACTGTAGAGCCCACCAGTGAGCCCCTGGAAGTGACAGTGGAGGATAAGACCGACACTTCAGTCACCATCACCTGGAGGCCTCCAAAGACCATTCCAGACAACTCTGGCCTGGATGGATACACCGTGGAAATCACCAAGGAGGGAAGTAAGTCATTCAAGCCAACTTCAGCCCTTAACTAGCCTGGTCCCAGATCTGTTTGTGCAGTCTTGCCAACTCCTATGGTCATGGGCGTGACCAATCTGAGACCAGGCTACCATTTGACTACTAAGTTCTTTTAATGTTGTTATGTTGTCCCATTGGATTTTGTACATCTCTGATATGCTTGTAAGGTAAAATAGAGAATTAACCACAACCTTGTGAAAATGTTTATTGATTTGTTTTATCTAACACCATACGATGAGGCTGCATTCCATTGTAAATTATATTTTTTGGGCTGGTCAGACCTATCAGTTGCACCTGTCCGCTGCATGTCAGTCGTTGATTTATTCCGTACCTAACATCTCCCTATAAGGACAGAGGCATTACTGGCAGTGCCATGGACTAGCTGGTGCCTGCTTTTAGATCACAATCTTATGCTAATGATCAGTAACAGACTCAAGTCAAATGTCAGAGAAGAAAATATACCTCAAGTAATGCAACTACACGTTTCACCTTGCAAATGTAATAATTCACCTGGAAAATTTGAACATACTATCTTCTTATTCATGAATCTCCTTAATTCATCCATTTAAAAATATGTTTTTTGGGTCCAGATAGGAAGATAAGTCATGACAATACTTTCATCCAAGTACTTCCCCTGATTCTCAGTCACCACTCAAATATGTGTCCTCTAGTTTACATTTTCACTCCAGTGAAGGACTGAATATTCTCCATATCTGATACTGATACTTATTGTCCTCACTGTGTTCACTCTCTTGCCGTAGTTCTATACTGTACTAAGCTTGTTAACTTTCCTGTCACAGCTGAAGACTGGAAAGCAGCCAACGAGGTTCTGACCATATCCTGCCGTTATGTCATCAAGAACCAGACTACCGGCGACCGTCTACTGATCCGGGTGGTTGCTGTAAACCCTGGTGGCCGCAGCCCCCCTGCTACCATCACCGATCCCGTTCTGGTCAAGGAGGTTGGGGGTAAGCAAAGCCTGGACAATAGGCTGAGTCTTCACTCACACACAGCACTTAGCTACTGTACTTCAGAAGCATGCCGTGGTCCATTTCTTCCAACCAGCAGATGTGGGTTTTCTTCCATGGACTTCAAGTAGACAGCATTGTATTATCAGGTGGCCATAACAGCAAGTCCAAACTGTTTGTGGTGGGCGGTGTCCGTCTTTATTGTTGAAATAGCTTTTCAAAAGAGCAGACGTTGAAACAGCTAGGGAGAAATGGCTCAGCATGATTTCCATCTCAGATATCCAACTACTGTTGTCACATCCCTGGCCCGTTAGAATAATGCAACGGTGGCCTTCTCAGATTGTTGACACCAAGAGGGGGGTAGAGATCCTCGGTCCAAGCATGGAGTAAGCTCCCCAGTTGTAAAGGGATAAATGTACTGCCTACAACACTTTTTGGGTGCATGTTTTCACCTGTGTCTTCTTACTTTGTCTACTTTTTGACTTCCTCAATGATAACTGTTAATGGTTAGTCAAGCCTCTTAATTTACAGCAATCATCCTGGAATCAAGTGAATGTAGTGTACACAGTGGTAGGCCCTGGATTTTGAGTTTTATCTAGTCCTATTTTCTGAATATACAGTAAAATAGTTATATCAAAACAGAAAGCTGAAGTAATTGGTAGACCTATGTTTTTTTATGAAAGTTGATTAAAACTGTATTTATGTAAGTAGGGACCTAAAGAGAGAGATCAGCAAATGTGTGATGGAGAGTTTTAATGGAGGGGAATGAAACCTGAAACCCAAGGACTTATATAGGGACTGGCCGTCCCCCAATAGGAGTGTCACAGTCCATGTCCCACAGTCCCACTGTCAAACTTAGCCTTTGGTCCACCAAAAAAAGCGTCTGGTTTACCACACAATGGAACGACCACTAACTTTCCCACAAATCCTTTGGAAAATTGTTGGGATGTGTCTGCTATTAACACGGAAGGTTTGGCATTAAGTTGCCTCCCCAGTCAGAATGCGTGCTGGAGAGGTGTCAAGCCAACCCATGTAAGAGTGATGGAAACAAGTGCAATCTGTCGAGTGGGGTGGGGGTGGGGATGGGGAACATTCCAAAGTGTCCCCTCTACACAGAGAGGGTGGGGACATGGGAGGGATCTAACGTCTCGTATGCCATCTAAGCCCTTTGAGACGACCAGGGACCCTGTGTTTATTTTGAAACATGCCACAGACACTGACGGGGACAAGGCAGTTCTCTTTTGACCTGATCCCCGCATAAGGTGCGTCAAGTCGGGACACTCCACAGAGAAACACACCTAACTCTACCATGCCCATTCCACAGTTGGTTGGTTGTTTTTTAAAATACATTTTCTGATAGCAGCACATATTCCTGCCGAGAATGCTGGCACTAGTGCATAGGTTTGTATAGGAGCGGGTTTGCAATTATAGTTCCTGAACTTGGTTATTAGTTAGTTACAAATATCAACCATTCTGTCCATGTTTTAACACTATAAGCCATTGGCTGTGAATGGTGTGTTTGTGGGGGATCCTATGGTCTTGGAGAATCTACAGTACAGTTGAGTGTGATTCTTACTGCAGCCTGTTTAACATTGTGGGCTGGGGTAACTGTAGATCTACATCATGTGTTGCGACATGGCATGAGTTCAAATGGGACTTATTTAGAGCTCTGATGAGTGTTACTCTGCTAGACTCAGCAGGTGTTTGGTTCCCACCAAACTAGATCTGGTCTGGATGGCTGGAGTACAGGATAATCTGTCTCAAAGCTGAAGGTACAGAGTGGGTTTTGAGGAATTCGTTTTTTTATTCTTTCTGATACAAATTCAATTGCTTGCTCTGAAGTATCTCTGAAGTGTCCTATCCATAGTGTGTGTCAAAGTTTCAGAGTCATTTTACTTATTTGAACAGGTTGATTATTATTATTATTATTCGTAAACCATTTTTTTCTGTCTGTAGCTCGCCCCAAAGTCCGCCTGCCTCGTTTCCTGAGGCAGAGGTATGTCAAGAAAGTCGGTGAGAAGATCAACCTTGTCATCCCCTTCTCTGTGAGTTTGTATTATGAGATGATGGGTAGGCCTGGGAGTTTGTCTAAACCACATGACCTGAGCAGGACCAAAACAATTGGACCCTAGCTATAGGCTACAACTAGGGGCTAGAGTTTTTCACATGGTCAGGAAAGACTCCTGGCACTAATGATATGAAATCACGTGATGTTATAACATGTGTCCATACAGATGGAAGTTAGACCATTGATTGAGCCCAGCATTGTGTTCTTTACTTTCCTAGGGTAAACCTAAGCCAGTCATTAGCTGGTTAAAGGATGGAGAGCCCCTTGACCCAAAGAGGGCCAATGTCCGTACATCTGACAGAGACAGCATCCTGTTCATCCGTCAAGCAGAAAGAGCAGACTCTGGCTCATATGAGATGTGCGTGAAGGTGGACGACTTTGAGGACAAAGCTGCTATCATCATCCAGATTATTGGTAAATCAAACTCTATTTGACTATCCAACCTTGTTTTTATTTCTAAACAGATGATGACATAGCATTAGCCTGTCATATAAACTAGGTATATTTTGGTCATAACTAGGGCCAGGAGTTGTTTCTGGTCAGGTCTTAACTGATCTGGAGAGTGATTGAGTTGTTGTGAGTTTACTGATACCAATGATGCAACCCATACTGAACCATGTATCGCTGTGCCTGCTCTCCCACAGAGTTGCCTGGGCCACCAGCCAGCATTAAGATTGTGGATGTCTGGGGATTCAACGTTGCTCTGGAGTGGACCGCACCCAAAGATAACGGAAACACAGAGATCACAGGCTACACTGTCCAGAAGGCTGACAAGAAGACCGGGGTGAGAAACCCCTTCCTTACCATACAATGTCAAAGTTAATGACATACTGAGTCATTCACAACTTCTGTATCGTTTACACAATTCCCATTGATTTAGCAGCAAAAATGTTCCCTGTACTCTAATACAATCCCCAAAAATATTATTTAAAGTACATCTCAGTATATTTTACTCAAAAAATTGAAATCAAAAGAAAGTACAATACGTATAATAACAAGACATTGAAATATTATTAATACTCATATGGTCTCTTGCCCAGGACTGGTTCAACATTTTGGAGCACTACACAAGATTAAACGCTACCATCTCAGACCTCATCATGGGCAACACCTACACCTTCAGGATCTTTGCAGAGAATAAGTGTGGACTCAGTGAGGAATGTGCTGTGACCAAGGGAGAAGCCACCATTGTGAAGGAGGGTGAGACACACTCCACACCACCCCTTTCAAAAAAAGTCCCTTAAAAAAAATTAACATGAGATAATCACATGGAAAGAACAGATTTGAAAAAATACATGTTAATAAAAATATACATATATATATATATATATATATATATATATATATATATATATATATATATATATATATATATATATATATATATATATGTATATATATATATTTTCTATTTTATATATATAAATTTATATACACACACTACCGTCAAAACTTTTAGAACACCTACTCATTCAAGGGTTTTTCTTTATATTTACACTTTTTCTACATTGTAGAATAATAGCGAAGACATCAAAACTATGAAATAACACATATGGAATCATGTAGTAACCAAAAAAGTGTTAAACAAATCAAAATATATATTTGAGATTTTAGATTCTTCAAAGTAGCCACCCTTTGCCTTGATGACAGCTTTGCACACTCTTGGCATTCTCTCAACCAGCTTCATGAGGTAGTCACCTGGAATGCATTTCAATTAACAGGTGTGCCTTCTTTAAAGTTAATTTTAATGCATTTGAGCCAATCAGTTGTGCTGTGACAAGGTGTGTGTGTGGGGGGGGGGGTGTACAGAAGATAGCCCTATTTGGTAAAAGACCAAGTCCATATTATGGCAAGAACAGCTCAAATAAGCAAAGAGAAACAACAGTCCATCATTACTTCAAGACATGAAGGTAGGTCAATACGGAACATTTCAAGAACTTTGAACGTTTTCAAGTGCAGTCGCAAAAACCATGAAGCGCTATGATGAAACTGGCTCTCATGAGGACCCCCACAGGAATGGAAGACCCAGAGTTACCTCTGCTGCAGAGGATAAGTTCATTAGAGTTACGAGCCTCAGAAATTGCAGCCCAAATAAATGCTTCACAGAGTTCAAGTAACAGACACATCTCAACATCAACTGTTCAGAGGGTACTGTTTGAAATCAGGCCTTCATAGTGAAATTGCTGCAAAGAAACCACTACTAAAGGACACCAATAATAAGAAGAGACTTGCTTGGGCCAAGAAACACCAGCAATGGACATTAGACTGGTGGAAATGTGTCCTTTGGTCTGGAATCCAAATTGGAGATGTTGGTTCCAACCACCATGTCTTTGTGAGACACGATGTGGACACGATGTGGGTGAACGGATGATCTCCGCATGTGCATTTCCCACCGTAAAGCATGCAGGAGGAGGTGTTATAGGGGTGCTTTGCTAGTGACACTGTCTGTGATTTATTTAGAATTCACACTTAACCAACATGACCACCACAGCATTCTGCAGCGATACGCCTTCCCATTTGGTTTGGGGTTAGTGGGACTATCATATGTTACTTCATAGTGCTGATGTCTTCACTATTATTCTACAATGTAGAAAATAGTAAAAATAAAGAAAAACCCTTGAATGAGTAGCTGTTCTAAAACTTTTGACCGGTGGTGTATATATATATATATATATATATATACAGTGGGGAGAACAAGTATTTGATACACTGCCGATTTTGCAGGTTTTGCTACTTACAAAGCATGTAGAGGTCTGTCATTTGTATCATAGGTACACTTCAACTGTGAGAGACGGAATCTAAAACAAAAATCCAGAAAATCACATTGTATGATTTTTAAGTAATTAATGTGCATTTTATTGCATGACATAAGTATTTGATCACCTACCAACCAGTAAGAATTCCGTCTCTCACAGACCTGTTAGTTTTTCTTTAAGAAGCCCTCCTGTTCTCCACTCATTACCTGTATTAACTGCACCTGTTTGAACTCATTACCTGTATAAAAGACACCTGTCCACACACTCAATCAAACAGACTCCAACCTCTCCACAATGGCCAAGACCAGAGAGCTGTGTAAGGACATCTGGGATACAATTGTAGACCTGCACAAGGGTGGGATGGGCTACAGGACAATAAGCAAGCAGCTTGGTGAGAAGGCAACAACTGTTGGCGCAATTATTAGAAAATGGAAGAAGTTCAAGATGACGGTCAATCACCCTCTGTATGGGGCTCCATGCAAGATCTCACCTCGTGGGGCATCAATGATCATGAGGAAGTTGAGGGATCAGCCCAGAACTACACGGCAGGACCTGGTCAATGACCTGAAGAGAGCTGGGACCACAGTCTCAAAGAAAACCATTAGTAACACACTACGCGGTCCTGGATTAAAATCCTGCAGCGCATGCAAGGTCCCCCTGCTCAAGCCAGCGCATGTCCAGGCCTGTCTGAAGTTTGCCAATGACCATCTGGATGATCCAGAGGAGGAATGGGAGAAGGTCATGTGGTCTGATGAGACAAAAATATAGCTTTTTGGTCTAAACTCCACACGCCGTGTTTGGAGGAAGAAGAAGGATGAGTACAACCCCAAGAACACCATCCCAACCGTGAAGCATGGAGGTGGAAACATCATTCTTTGGGGATGCTTTTCTGCAAAGGGGACAGGACGACTGTACCGTATTGAGGGGAGGATGGATGGGGCCATGTATCGCGAGATCTTGGCCAACAACCTCCTTCCCTCAGTAAGAGCATTGAAGATGGGTCGTGGCTGGGTCTTCCAGCATGACAACAACCCGAAATACACAGCCAGGGCAACTAAGGAGTGGCTCCATCTCAAGGTCCTGAAGTGGCCTAGCCAGTCTCCAGACCTGAACCCAATAGAAAATCTTTGGAGGGAGCTGAAAGTCCGTATTGCCCAGCGACAGCCCCGAAACCTGAAGGATCTGGAGAAGGTCTGTACGGAGGAGTGGGCCAAAATCCCTGCTGCAGTGTGTGCAAACCTGGTCAAGACCTACAGGAAACGTATGATCTCTGTAATTGCAAACAATGGTTTCTGTACCAAATATTAAGTTCTGCTTTACTGATGTATCAAATACTTATGTCATGCAATAAAATGCAAATTAATTACTTTAAAATCATACAATGTGATTTTCTGGATTTTTGTTTTAGATTCCGTCTCTCACAGTTGAAGTGTACTTATGATACAAATTACAGACCTCAACATGCTTTGTAAGTAGGAAAACCTGAAAAATCGGCAGTGTATCAAATACTTGTTCTCCCCACTGTATATATTTTTTTTACATGACATTTTCATGAGTCAGTCACGTGAACAAATCACATGCAAAAAATGTCATGTGGGAAAAACAGACACGTGTGAAGTTTCAAATGACTCCAACACGTTTCCCTGTTTCCCAACATATTATAAGTTTCACATGTGTGCTTTTGTAACTGGCAGGATTAGAACCCAGGTCTCCAACAGGTCATACCAACGTCTTGACCATTCAACCATGAGAGCCAACACTATTTAGAAGTCACAGGTGGCGCTACCTCATCATGTGACCATGAGCAAACATGACTGACTCATGTCCGTTACACTTTCACATGTGCATTTTCAAATGTTATTGTCAACTATGGGTATCAAACGATAACAAAAATGTAATTGCGTTTATCGTAGGATTTGCTGTGATTAATCAAGATTAATCGCAAATTCATAGTTTGCTCAAATTGAGCTGTAATTTAAGATTTGTTTTTCAAAAAGCATTACAAAAACATTGCCGTTTTGATTTTGTCCAAAGTAACGGTTAGCAAAATCAGGTAAATCGATCAACAAACTTTCTTTAACCTCAAAGTCAACTTTTTTTGACATCGTATTGTTGTTTTTAGCTATATGGATTATGTATTTTGGATGTTTTCAGTGCATTTTGAACGCTTTCAGACAACGCAATTACAGAAATTGAGCACAAAAATACTTCAGTTAAAATTACTTTGGTTAACTGGTTAACTCAGACAGTGCTAATTTTAAAATCTTAAAAAGGAGAAATAATCTCTGTTCTTTTCACTGGGCTTTTTCGAATGGTCACTCATCAATGTATGAAGAAGAGAAGCTCCGAATTGAAATAAGAAATTATACTGTTTAACACACTTGAATTATTATTCACAGAATGGCATTAAATAATTCGCAATTCTATATGTGGAGACATTGCTACTGCAACATGTTAACCCCACCTTTTCACATGTGAGGAGAATAACACTAGGCCTATTTCACTCCACGTGTGACAGTTAGATTTTCACGTAAATGTTTTCTACATGTGAAACTGCAAATTAGATTTAGAAATGTGAATCGTTTTCACGTGAACTTGCAACTCCACATGTGAAAGTGAGATTTTCACATGGAGTTATTACATGTGAAACTGCTGATTAGATTTTCACGTGATTGATTTTCACATGTGAACTTTCAATTCTACATTTGAACGTGAGATTTTCACAGTTTCTCGTGAAACTGCATATCCGACTTTCACATGACATTTTTACAATGTGAAACAGCAAATTTCAAATATGCAACTGCAATTCACGTGAGGTGAAAACATGTTTTTCTTCTCACATGTGAAAGGTGGTGTTAACTTGTGAACTCTAAATGTAATAATGTGAAAATACGGTTTCATGTGAAATTCATGCTCAACATGTGAAAACAGCGATTTCACATGTGAAAAAAGCAAATTTGACATGTTTTTATTTTTAAGGTGTCCCCCTACACGTTAGAACGTTAGAGAATATTAGAACGAGTGGAACAGTAAAGTCTTCTTGTAGTTGCCCCCATTTAGGACCTAATCCATGCTTGTCTCATTCTTTTTCAGTTATTGACTACAAACCTACCCCGTTCGTGGAGCGTGACTTCACAGAGGCTCCCAAGTTCACCACTGTTCTGAACGACAGGTCCACCACTGTTGGCTACAGCACCAAGCTGCTGTGCTCTGTGAGGGGATGCCCCAAGGTAAACCTTCCCTCTTACAAACTCTCTAATACTGTAGGTTGTTAATGAAATGGACAACCTGTAGGCTAGGCTAGCAGAACTGTATTTATTAAGGATATCCATTAGCTGCTGCCAAGGCAGCAGCTACTCTTCCTGGGGTCCAGCAACATTAAGGCAGTTATATACTATTACAAATATTACATAACATTACATTTCATAACACTTTTCACAGCACATTAAGTGTGTGCCCTCAGGCCTACCACATAACTACAATACAAAGTCCATGTGTACGTGTGTGTAGAATGTGTGTCTTATGTGAATGTGTAAGCATGTGTGTGTGTGCTTGTGTGTGAAGGTGTATTTTTATCAGTTTTTTAAATCTGATTCAACTGCTTGCACACACACACACACACACACACACACACACACACACACACACACACACACACACACACACACACACAGTGCATGTTTTAGGCTGTGTATCTGTATAAGCACTTTGTGACAACTGCTGATGTCAGAACAGCTTTATAAAATACAATTGATTGATTGATTGATGTCTGAGCCTCCAGCTCAGCCTGTCCCCTGTCACCAGATCCACTGGGTTGCCAGTCACAACAGCAGAGCAGCATTTGGCATAGGGGAGTTGAACATGCAGCTCCGTATAGGGTTAGGTTATGATAGTCTCCATCTGAGCAGAACCTTGGACTCCTGGCCGACTGGGCCGGAGTGGGTGGGTGGCAGAGAGGAGGGGGTGGAGGATGTATAACATTCCTACCCTGGGGGGATCATGGGGGGTCTTTACACTGACCCTTACAAATGAACACATAAAATTTGCAGTTTCACATGTTGAGCTTAAATTTAAATGTATTACATTTAGAGTTCACATGTTAACACCGCCTTTTCACATGTGAGGAGAAAACATGTTTTCACCTCATATGAATTGCAGTTTCACATGTGAAATTTGCGGTTTCACATGTTAAAAACTTTCACATGAAAATCGGATATACATTTTCACATGGGAAAATCTCACTTTGAAATGTAGAATTGCATTTTCACATGTGAAAATATTCCTTGTGAAAATCCCTTTCCGTTTGACATGAAAATCTTACTTTCACTTGTGGAATTGCAGATTCACATGTGGGGTTGAAATAATGTTATTCTCCTCACATGTGAAAAGATGGTTTTAACATGTTGCAATAGCAATGTTTCAACCCAAATTAGGGTGACCATATCTAAAAATCCCAAATGCGGGACAACGGAACGATTTTGCTGGACATTCCCCATTCCCGGAACAGTGGACAGAACACAGTTGTTAATGTTTCAATTAAGGATTGGCGCTTCAAAGCAAAACATGAACTCAAAAGTATTGATAGCAAAATAAAATATTGCAAGGAACTCATTTTGAAATGCGAGAACAAATGAATTGTAAATTGATGAAAAACATTTGTTTTCAGTGAGAAATAAAAGAAATGATCACCTTTTTTTTTACCCGCATCCCTCTTTTCTGCAGTTTTCCCCATCATGTGTTTTGAATATCTGTACCCATCAAAAGAAAGGGCTTCATTTACCCCTAGAAACCATCATAGCCAAGCCTACGTGATGTTCCTTCCTTTATTGGGGCATTTAATTGCTTGTTCATAGAGGTACACTACAAGATCAAAAGTAAGTGGACACCCTTTCAAATTAGTGGATTTAGCCATTTCTGCCACACCTGTTGCAGACAGCTGTATAAAATTGAGCACACCGCCATGCAATCTCCATAGACAAACATTGGCAGTAGAATGGCCTTACAAAAGAGCTCAGTGACTTTCAACATGACACCGTCATAGGATGCCACCTTTCCAACAAGTCTGTTTGTCAAATGTCTGCCCTGCTAGAGCTGCCCCGGTCTACTGTAAGTGCTGTTATTGTGAAGTGGAAACTTTTAGGAGCAACAACGGCTCAGCCGCAAAGTGGTAGGCCACACAAGCTCACAGAACGGGACTGCCGAGTGCTGAAGAGAGTAGCACGTAAAAATGGTCTTTCCTCGGTTGCAACACTCACTACCGAGTTCCAAACTGCCTCGGGAAGATACGTCAGTACAATAACTGTTCGTCGGGAGCTTCATGAAATAGGTTTCCATGGCCGAGCAGCAGCACACAAGCCTAAGATCTCCATGAGCAATGCCAAGCGTCGGCTGGAGTGGTGTAAAGCTCCCCGCCATTGGACTCTGGAGTGATGAATCACGCTTCATCATCTGGCAGTCCAACGGACAAATCTGGGTTTGGCGGATGCCAGGACAACGCTACTTGCCCCAATGCATAGTGCCAACTGTAAAGTTTGGTGGAGGAGGAGTAATGGTCTGGGGCTGTTTTTCATGGTTCGGGCTAGGCCCCTTAGCTCCAGTGAAGGGAAATCTTAACGCTACAGCATACAATAACATTCGAGATGATTCTGTGCTTCCACATGTGGCAACAGTTTGGGGAAGGCCCTTTCCTGTTTCAGCATGACAATGCCCCCATGCACAAAGCGAGGTCCATACAGAAATGGTTTGTCGAGATCGGTGTGGAAGAACTTGACTGACCTGCACAGAGCCCCCACCTCAACCCCATCGAACACCTTTGGGATGAATTGGAACGCCGACTGCAAGCCAAGCCTAATCGCCCAACATCAGTGCCCGACCTCACTAATGATCTTGTGGCTGAATGGACGCAAGTCCCTGCAGAAATGTTCCAATATCTAGTGAAAAGCCTTCCCAGAAGAGTGGAGGCTGTTATAGCAGCAAAGTGGGTACCAACTCCATATTAATGCCCATGATTTTGGAATGTGATGTTCGACGAGCAGTTGTCCACATACTTTTGGCCATGTAGTGCATGTCCCCTTTGCGATGAGCTGATCATTGTAGGATTTTAGTATGGTGCATGGTAAAACATCCTCAAAGTACATGAAAGCTGAAGTAAACAATTGATCTGAAACATATAAATCACATATTATGTCATTGCAGCCTAAGATTTTGTGGATGAAGAACAAGATGATTCTCAACAACATGGACAACCCCAAGTACAGGATGATCAGCACAGGGGGCATCTGCACCCTGGAGATCCGTAAGCCTGGCCCATACGACGGTGGCGAGTATGTCTGCAGAGCCGAGAATACATTGGGGAAGGTCGACACTGGCTGCAAGCTGGAGGTCAAAAGTAAGTAGTAGTGGAAAAAATAAAATAAAAATTGCACTTGTCTTTTCCTGCTAGTACCAACTTCTCCTAGTTTCAACTACAGTAACTATCTTAAGATGAATATACTAACTGTAAGTTGCTCTGGATAAGAGCTTCTGCTAAATGACTAAAATGTAAAAAAATAACTTAATTTAGAACCCACTGGGCACACACTGGTTGAATCAACATTGTATCCATGCCATTTCAATTAAATTACGTTGAATCAACGTGGAATCGAAGTTGAATTGACGTCTGTGCCCAGTGGGAAAGTCCTTTCTCATACATGGGTTTACCCGAGGAAGAAGCCTCACAAAGTATGAAGCAAGTTCATCTATAAATATAGACACTGCTTTTGTAATCAAATGTATTTCTGCTTTTACGTTTATGTTTCAGTGGTGTTTTATCTTATGCATTATCCATGCAAATGTAGATGCTCTCGATATTTGTTGTATTTGAATCAGGCTGTGTGGAAATATTGGCATTGGTTCATGATCACTAAATTAATTATATTTACCTCAACAGAGCCTGTGTATGCAGACGCTGACAAAGACAAGGAGGAGGAAGAGTAAATGAACATGCATATAGGTCAGTCACTCTTATTGGCATTTATAAGGTTTCATGTGGAAAATGGGCTTCAATTTACAAGATTGGCCTGAATTCAGAAGTTCACTGTGAATCAATAAATAAAGGCCACTTTGTTACAAACTATACTTGATGAATGTCTTTACTAAAAATCTAAAATCTAAAATCAATCTTGGCATTTAATTTGCTTTGACTTTGGTCTTATTGGAGAGAAAGTTATATGTACCCATATTGTCACTGAAAACTTAGCACCAACGTTTATTTTAATATGTACCAAAGTCTATTTGAGTCCTGGTGTGACGTACATATTCTCCAAGGCTGGCCTTACATGGAGAGCCCTAAAGTGGGAGGTGGAAGGTGGCCTCTGCCATTGCAAGGGTCTGAATGCTAGTCCTAGCTGCTGCTCATAAATTAGTCCTGTAACGGCTCCACATACAGTGGAGTTGCACTCAGTTAGGGGACTACATCACATTTCCTTGACTCGGCATAGCGGGCCCATTAGGGATCAGCGAGACACAGCAATTTACTACCAGGAGCCACTGTATTGCAAGCAGCTTTTCACCCACCAAGGTGTTGAATCTCCACGGGGGACACTATCAGCTCTCTTCACTTGCAAAAAACAATTTGTGTAATATGAATATTTATACTGGCTGTAGTTTTTAAAAAAGTTTTATGTTAAACTCTTGGAATATACCTTTTGTAGGCCTGCTGCTGCAGTTCTAACCACCACAGTTGGCTAAATATGGCATGTGAATTGACACCTGTTCTCTGTTATTACAGTCCCAAATTAGAAGCAAGCGGAATGAGGCCTTTAAAAAAAGGTGAGGTCCTTTTTATAAGCTCTAAAACTGTACTTTCTCTCCTTTGATGCGAAATATGAATTGAGACATTAGATAACTTTCGGTGAGTTTTAAAGTGATATATACCACTTGTTTTTCTACAGGACGGTTCTGGATGCTGGAAAAAAACATGTACATATGACTGGAGAGAACAAACAATGAAATGGTTAATACCTACAACCGTTGTATCCTACCCTACCCTTTCCTTTCCTATCCTATATTTATGAAGATGAACATTGTTTTGCCTTTATTTTTCTTCCTTAGTACTCTCTGGTATAGAGTTCATATCCATGTCCACAACCAACTCAGATGTCAACTGTCTGTGTGACATTGTAATTCTGAATAGGTCTCCATTATATAAAACAAATCCATTGTTCCTGATTGGAGATTAAAGACGTAAAACCTCAGAATGTTTGTTACAATAAATATTTTGATTAATGCTTTTGTTTTGTTGTTTTGTTGAATAAACCAAAACTTGAATAAACCCTCTCTAACCTGAAGTAAAAATGACAATGCATCGACCGAAACCTTCTATACTTATTAATGTGAAAGAGGAAAAGTGCTAGTTGTGGCAAGGCCAGTGGAATATTTCCTTAACAGGATTTTGTCATGTATTTGTATAATATACAGTATGTGTACATGCAGTACACAGTAGTCGCTCTTTAACTTGTTTATCACATGACATGATATTACAGAGTGGGTATTTTATGGCTTGAATCCAAGCTGATCAGATATCAGTCTACACAGTCCTGGCACTCTATTACTCTCATATGCATCCAGCCAAGCAGACCGTAGAACTGAGAGAACTGAAAGAACCAGGGCAACACCACTGCTAAATCAAAAGGCAGAAGAGCGTGTCCAGCCTTGGGCACTTTGGCTCACATACAAAAAGGTACAAGTGTGACAACAGCATGTAGTATGTAACTGTCTCATCATCACACAGTAATGGAGTTATTGGCATAGTGATAAGAGGCTGTGTTGCCAGAGATATGTAGATTGTTGCCAATGATAACAATATGAAGCGTTTGGAAACGGTGACTGGATGACATTGTGTCTTTAAGCGAGTTGGAGAGAGACGTGTCTGAAGGCATGGTAGACACAAGAGCACCACTCTATAACAACCGCTCCCTCTAGTGTCCTTACTTGGAAATTACAAGATAAGTAGAGGTTATTTCTATTACAGTGAACCCACTTTGCACAGAAGTCAGTTCAATGCCAGTTTTGATTTGTTGATGATACATTGCAATTCCAATTAGTTTTCCACGTTGATTCAATGTCGTCACATTGACTATCTGGGTTGAAATGACGTGGAAAAGACGTTGATTCAACCATTGAAAAAAATAAATGTAGGGGGTTGATCAGCTTTAATATTGCAGATAGATTGTGGCTTCTATCCATGTAATTATCTGCATCCTTTCCAATCCTACATATATTTTTTGGTAAATATATATTTTATTTATTTTTTGTTCATCATTTACATTACATTTTAGTCATTTAGCAGATGCTCTTATCCAGAGTGACTTACATGAGCAATTAGAGTTAAGTGCCTTGCTTAAGGGCACATCGACAGATTTTTCACCTAGTCGGCTCTGGGATTAGAAGCAGCACCCTTGCAGTTACTGGCACAACCATTTTACCCACTAAGCTACCTGCCGCCCCTTACCCTACCATCCCTCCCCTAATTGGAGTAAACTAATGAACAACAATACTTAGGCTTCTACTTCCAGCTTATACATACTATATTACGGACACAGTATATTTTACATTAGTTATCTTGTTTTTTGTAATTTTTTTGTCCCACCCTTCAGCTCCCCTCAACCCCTCCCATCTATCTCTGAACCCCTCCAGTTTTGATTTCTATTTCCCATATAGTTTGCAACTGTGCTGTGATGTAGCTCAATTGGTAGAGCATGGCACTTGTAACGCCAGGGTAGTGGGTTCGATCCCCGGGACCACCCATAAGGAAAAATGTATGCACACATGACTAAGTCGCTTTGGATAAAAGCGTCTGCTAAATGGCATATTATTATATTATGTTTCAAAAAAGATCTGAACCTTTCTATTCTCATAGTTTTTGAAGATTGTAAATTATAGATAAACATTTTTGCTAAGAGTATTATTATATTATTGATTGACTATGACTTTTCAAATCAGCCAGCAGTGCTATTTGCAGAGTTAGCTCCAGGTAAATGTTGCAATTCTTCAACCATTCCTGAACCTACGACCAAAAACAAGCTACATGTTGGCAATACCAAAACAATTGATCTAATGATTCTGTCTCTTCGCAGTAAAATCTGCAGAGCTGGGATGGTTGTATCCCCAATATATAAACATTCTATTGGTTGCAATAATTTTGTATAATAATTTAAATTGAAAAACTTTAAGTTTTGAATCCGACGTTGTTTTTAGTGTATCAGTTTATAAACCATGTGCCATGGAATCGAAAAGCTCTTCCCAACTATTTTGCAACCTGTATGGCACAGCGGTACATTTTGGGGTCCTTAAATGAAACTTGTATACTTTTTTATTCATCATAATTTTCTTTAACCAGTTTTGCTCTTTAATGCAGGGCTGACAGACAAGTTCCTTACCTTCGCCCCCTTCCACTTGCCTCTTCCATTTTTGCGGAATTGCTGCAATTAGTTTGTTGCAATTTTGGATAGAGCAGACATTTCCATATACAGTGGGGGAAAAAAATATTTAGTCAGCCACCAATTGTGCAAGTTCTCCCACTTAAAAAGATGAGAGAGGCCTGTAATTTTCATCATAGGTACATGTCAACTATGACAGACAAATTGACAAAAAAAATCCAGAACATCACATTGTAGGATTTTTAATGAATTTATTTGCAAATTATGGTGGAAAATAAGTATTTGGTCACCTACAAACAAGCAAGATTTCTGGCTCTCACAGACCTGTAACTTCTTCTTTAAGAGGCTCCTCTGTCCTCCACTCGTTACCTGTATTAATGGCACCTGTTTAAACTTGTTATCAGTATAAAAGACACCTGTCCACAACCTCAAACTGTCACACTCCAAACTCCACTATGGCCAAGACCAAAGAGCTGTCAAAGGACACCAGAAACAAAATTGTAGACCTGCACCAGGCTGGGAAGACTGAATCTGCAATAGGTAAGCAGCTTGGTTTGAAGAAATCAACTGTGGGAGCAATTATTAGGAAATGGAAGACATACAAGACCACTGATAATCTCCCTCGATCTGGGGCTCCACGCAAGATCTCACCCTGTGGGGTCAAAATGATCACAAGAACGGTGAGCAAAAATCCCAGAACCACACGGGGGGACCTAGTGAATGACCTGCAGAGAGCTGAGACCAAAGTAACAAAGCCTACCATCAGTAACACACTACGCCGCCAGGGACTCAAATCCTGCAGTGCCAGACGTGTCCCCCTGCTTAAGCCAGTACATGTCCAGGCCCGTCTGAAGTTTGCTAGAGTGCATTTGGATGTTCCAGAAGAGGATTAGGAGAATGTCAGATGAAACCAAAATATAACTTTTTGGTAAAAACTCAACTCGTCGTGTTTGGAGGACAAAGAATGCTGAGTTGCATCCAAAGAACACCATACCTATTGTGAAGCATGGGGGTGGAAACATCATGCTTTGGGGCTGTTTTTCTGCAAAGGGACCAGGACGACTAATCCGTGTAAAGGAAAGAATGAATGGGGCCATGTATCGTGAGATTTTGAGTGAAAACTTCCTTCCATCAGCAAGGGCATTGAAGATGAAACGTGGCTGGGTCTTTCAGCATGACAATGATCCCAAACACACCGCCCGGGCAACGAAGGAGTGGCTTCGTAAGAAGCATTTCAAGGTCCTGGAGTGGCCTAGCCAGTCTCCAGATTTCAACCCCATAGAAAATCTTTGGAGGGAGTTGAAAGTCCGTGTTGCCCAGCGACAGCCCCAAAACATCACTGCTCTAGAGGAGATCTGCATGGAGGAATGGGACAAAATACCAGCAACAGTGTGTGAAAACCTTGTGAAGACTTACAGAGAACGTTTGACCTGTGTCATTGCCAACAAAGGGTATATAACAAAGTATTGAGAAACTTTTGTTATTGACCAAATACTTATTTTCCACCATAATTTGCAAATAAATTCATAAAAAATCCTACAATGTGATTTTCTGGATAATTTTTTCTCATTTTGTCTGTCAAAGTTGACGTGTACCTATGATGAAAATTACAGGCCTCTTTCATCTTTTTAAGTGGGAGAACTTGCACAATTGGTGGCTGACTAAATACTTTTTTTCCCCACTGTATTTTTGTTCACTGTGAATCATGGGTGACTCCATCATTTGTAAAAAAAAAAATAATAATAATGTATGCACTCACTAACTGTAAGTCGTTCTGGATAAGAGCGTCTGCTAAAATGACTAAAATGTAAATGTAATGTAAACAGTTTCAGTAAATTATTTTCGGTAGCATTTTAGCACTTGATCTTTCTTTAATAAGTTCCTCCATTTTTATTTGTTTTTCCTCTAACTTATTCGGTGCCTCTCTGGTACAGTTTTTTATTGCTATCTATATACACTGTTAGTCCCACCATTTCCTTTGTTAATATTAACTGTTTTGACCTAAATTGCTTTTGTTTTAAAGATGCGTATCGACTGCATTCTGTCCCCTTGTCACGATCGTCGTTAAGAGAGGAGGACCAAGGCGCAGCGTGATGAACGAACATGTTTATTTATCTATAGTGATAAACACGGACAGTGAACAAAAACAACAAACGACTCGTAACGTCCTAGGTAACATAGACCAACACGGAACAAGAACCCACAAACACAAAGGGAAAAACAGACAGTTTAAATATGGCTCCCAATCAGAGACAACCAGCCAACAGCTGACACTCGTTGCCTCTGATTGGGAGTCACTCAGGCCAACATAGAAATAAACAAACTAGAACTCCCAACATAGAAATACACCACATAGAAAGAACACACCCTGGCTCAACATATAGAGTCCCAGAGCCAGGGTGTTACAGTACCCCCCCCCTAAAGGCGCGGACTGCGACCGCGCCTCAACTAGAGCAAAACAGGGGAGGGCTGGGTGGGCATTCCTCCTCGGCGGCGGTTCTGGCTCTGGCTCTGGCCTTGCCCACCACCCTCCAATAATCCCCCCATAGCACCCCTGGTCCGGTCTGGCCCCGCTGGCTGGAGCTGAACTGGACGTAGCAGGAGCGGTTAGCTTCAGCTCCGTTGTGGAGTAGTTGACCGGTACCTTACCAGGCACCGGTGACCCAGGCACGGGTTGTGCTGGACTGACGACGCGCACCCCTGGCTTGGTGCGTGGAGCCGGAACGGGCCGGACCGGGCTGACGACTCGCACCCCTGGCTTGGTGCGTGGAGTAGGAACGGGCCGAACCGGGCTGACGATGCGCACCCCTGGCTTGGTGCGTGGAGTAGGAACGGGCCGGACCGGGCTGACGATGCGCACCCCTGGCTTGGTGCGTGGAGTAGGAACGGGCCGGACCG